CCATACAATTAATTCATTTAAAGTGTATAATTCAGTAGTTTTTAGTATATTCACAGAATTCTGCAAACATCATCATAATTAACTTTATTTTCATCACTCCAAATAGAAAACTGTACACCGTTCTCTCCAGCTCTCCCCGACTCCCCAACCCTCAGCCCTGGGCACCCACCAGTGCACTTCCTGTTTCTGTGGATTTGCCTACTGTGAGCATCTCACGTAAACGGAATCGTACAATGTGTGACCTCCTGTGTCTGGCTCCCTTCCCTCAGCATAATGTTTTCAAGGCTCACCTGTGTTGTAGCATAGCTCAGTCATGCATTCCTTTTTAGGAGCAAATAATACTCAGCTGTATAGAACTGCTGTACATGTGGGTGTTTCCACGTTTTGGCTGATAGGAATAATGCTGCCGTGAACCTTCAAGTACAAGTTTTCGCGTGGACATATGTTTCCATTTCTCTGGAGTAGAGAGTCGGAGTGGAGCTGCTAGGCTTATGGTAATTCTGTTTACCCTTTCGAGGCCCTCTGTTCCAGGCTGCTTCCCATAGTGCTGCACCATTTACATCCCACCAGCCAGGTAGGAAGGTTCCAGTTTCCCCACATCCTTACCAGCATTTGTAATTATCTGTCTTTTTTATTATAACACAGTCATCCTCGTAGGTGGAGACTGGGACGTCACTGTGTTTTGATTCGCACTCTTTATGGTTAATAATGCTGAGCATTTTTTCCTGTGCTTCTTGGCCATTTATGTATCTTCTTCGGAAAACTGTCTTTTGAGCTCCTTTGCCCATTTTCAATCAGCTCATTTATCTTTTTTATTATTGAGTTTTACAACTTCTTTATACCTTCTAGATACAAGTCCCTTATCAAATATATGCTTGGCAAAGTGTTTCTTCTGTTCTGTGAGTTGTTTTTTACTTTCTTCATAGTGGCCTTTGAAGCACCGAAGTTTTTAATTTTAATGATGTCTCATTGATCTCCCTTTCTTTGTATAGTTTTAGCTCTTACACTGAGACCTTTGACCCATTTTGAGATGGTGCCTGTAGGTGCTGAGATGGAGGCACAAGTTAATTCTTTTGCATATGGAATCCAGTTATCCCAGCACCATTTGTCGAAGAGGCTGGGTTATTTTTGGACTCTCACTTCTATTCCATTCTAATATCTATATTGTGTCTTTATGCCAGTACCACACTGTCGTGAACTTGAACTGGACCAAAATAACTGGCTCTGCGGGTGCAGTCAGAGTCGCTTTCCCTTTCCACGGTGCCTCAGAGGTCCCAAGGTGCGTTCGTGCACGTGACCTCACTCGAGTCCTGCAGGACTCAGAGCGAACGGACGCTCAGATGGCTGAGTGGTGCGACCCTGGACTCAACCAGAGGCAGCCGTGGTCCAGGACCCACCTGTGCATCCTTTGACTCTTGGTCAAGTGCTCTCATTACCCCAGCCGTTCACCTGCTGGTCGAGTCCAGAAATTTGGGGAAAGGAAAAAGTATTTAAAAAATTAGGGCAGCAAAAAGGAGGAAGGGTGAAAACAGACTGATTATAAATGTTTGGCTCCTCACCAGCTTATGATAAATTTTCCCTTCTCCTGCTTGGACAAGAAATGAATGCTCTGGGTAATCCAGGGTTTTGCTTGAGTATTGCATTTTCGAAGAATGAGAACACAGTGACATACTCTCAACACTAAAACCACAGGGGCTATAATTTAATCTTTCATTCTGTTATCGTTGTCATTCTAGAGGACTCTTTGGTTTATTTTAGAGCAATGTTTCTTTAAGAGTGGTCCAAGGAAACCCAGAGCCCCCATCCACCCTGCATCTGCTGAAAGTCACCGGGTGATATTTTAAGCCCAATAAGGTTTGGGAACCGTTGTTTTAGAGCAGTGAAAGCCAAATTGTGAATACCAACGAGCATTGCCCTCAAGAGATGCAGGCATTCTGCTTACGTGAGAGTTCTGGATAATACAGTAGGTTCACGCACCTCATTTCCTTCCAGACTTTGCTAAAACATCACCCCTTCCTATGAGAACTTTCCTGATTTCAAATTTCATGTCACCCTTTGCCCAACGCCTTCCACCTTCCTTATCCCTTCCCTTCTCCACAGCACTAAACAACATCTAACTGACATATCAATCAATCAATCAATCAACCAATATATTTAACTATCTATCTATCATCTATCTATCTATTTATTATCTGGTCCTGTCTTTAGAAAGCAAACCTCACAAATGTCGGTGCTAGGAATACAGCGCCTCAGACAGTGTCTGCTGGGTACCAGGTGTTCAATAAACAGTGTGGAGGGGATGCATGTGCCGTGTTGCCTCTTAGTGTGTGGGCATTATGCCATGTGCCCTCTGTCTTTCCTGCAGGATTTTTTAAACTATAAAGCAAATCATTCTCTAATTCTCTGAGGGATGCTCAGTGTGTGTGGCACTGGAGAGAAAGAGCTGGAGCCACAGCCTCTGACCTCCTAATCCTGGAGTCGGGCCAGTTGCTCTGAAGGTCATTTTTCCTTAATACGCTGAGACCCTCCATTTACGAGGAGGGTCTGCACGTACAGCTGCATTGTCCTGGGAGGCTACCCCTAGGCGGACGCCTTGCCCTGGTGCGAATAACGGGGCGGAAGCAGCGAGGCTGAGATGAACCTGCAGACGGGGGCGACCTCTATAAGACCCCCGCCACACACACACACATCTCTGTGCTTGGAACCAGGCTGTGAAAGTGTACGCTTCCTCCTCCGAGGTCCCGAATGAGGAGCTAATAAATGGATCTTATCTCTTTTATTTAAAAAATATATATATTTTATTGATTTTTTTTTTTTTTTTTTTTTTTTTACAGAGAGGAAGGGAGAGGGATAGAGAGTTAGAAACATCGATGAGAGAGAAACATCGATCAGCTGCCTCCTGCACACCCCCTACTGGGGATGTGCCTGCACCCAAGGTACATGCCCTTGACCGGAATCGAACCTGGGACCCTTCAGTCCCCAGGCCGACGCTCCATCCACTGAGCCAAACCGGTTAGGGCTGGATCTTATCTCAATCTGCTTCTCAGGTGGCGTGGCTGGCTCTGACCCTTACCCATTCCCTCACCTCAAGCCACCTGCCCACAGCACCATCGCACACTCACTGCTCATGGGTCCTGGGGTCCTCCCCTCCCCGCACCTCTCCGCTGGCCCCACGTGACACACAAGGGGCTCGAGGTGTGGACCCAGGAGCAGTCAGTGCCCTAACACTGAGGTGCTCCCTGCTGCCCTTCCTCTCCCCCAGGACACCCTGGTGCTCCAGTTTGTACTGAGATGGCAGAAGTGGTGTGTGGGGCGCCCCTCAACCTGCGTTCAGGGGCGTCTGAGAAACTGTGGGGCCAGTAGGAGGATAACAGGAAAAAACAAGCTGGTTTCTCCCTTCACACACACACACACACACACACACACGGCGGCAGGATGTACCTGCTGAGTGTCCCCAGAAGGTGGAGGAAACCATTAGCTCGAGTCTCTCACGTTCTTCTAAGTGTGGTGGTTGGGGGAGGGGGAGTGGGCGAGGAGGAGGGGGAGGGCACCCCTCCCGAGGTCGGGGTTGGGGTGCCCAGGGCTGCTGCACGCGGTAGTAAAAGGTGGCCGGCTGCCTGGAGAGTGGGTGTCCCCGGAGAAGAGGGGCTGTCGCCGGGTGCCCCGGGCAGGGCTCAGGCAGAGCCGGGGCGGGCGCGGAGGGGAGTGGGAGGGAGGGAGGGGCTGTGTGCACTGAGACCCCAGCAGGTGGGCATTTGGGGGGGCGGGGGCCCCCTGGCCTGACCCGTTCTGGTGGGAAATGACGGCGGGAATCTGGGTGGGGAGGGCGCCGCGGCTCCAGGGCGTCCAGCCTGGCCCTCAGGGTTCCCAGCTGGACGGAGGGAGCTGCGCGGGGCGAAGGCCCCCAGGGGCCCCCAGGGGCCTGACTGACCAGGGACCCACAGGTGGGGTGGGGGGGGCCACGGGGAGTGACGGTGTCTGCCTTCTGGGCAGCATCTCCCCCGAGCCGGACCGAGTAACTCCAGACGCAGGGCAGGCGGTGAGGGCTTCCACCCGAGGGAGGGGCTTCGAGGGGGTCCCCAGAGGGGAGGTGCGCAGCGGGGCCTCGGGCTCCTGGACTGGGAAGGGGGGTCCCTAGGAGGCACTGACCCCCCGCCCCCCAAGACTGTGCGGGGAGGGCGGGGAGCGGCGGGACCGCTTTACCGAATCCAGACAAAAGTCTAAGTGGGGCTGACAGGAGCCGGGGGTGAGGGGTGCTCACCTGGGGGTGCGGTGGTGGCAAATGGGGACCCGGGCCGGGCTGCGGGGCTCTGTGGACGGAGGGGTCTGGGGGAGCTGAGGGGTCTCATTCGGAAGCAAGCGCTGCGAGGGGACTGGGGAAACCGACACGGTTTCCACTGGGGTGCTGATGGCGCGCCCCACTCGGACGCGAGGCCCCGGGGGGCTCCCCAAGTTAGACGTGGGGGTATGGGACACTGAGAGGGCTGCGGGCCGCCAAGGGCGACCCCTAAATTCGGTTCAGAGGCCACTGGGGGCTCGGAGGCGTCTCTCGCTCCGACGGGGGGGCTGGGGGATCCTCACCCGCTGGAGCCGCGGCGGGACTGGGGGGCCTGGGCTGTCCCCCCGACCGGGGAGATCGGGGACCTCCTAGTGCCGGCGGCGGGCCTGGGAGGGAGGGTCCCCGGTCCGGAACCGAGCTACCTGGAGGCACCGGGAAGCGCTTCGCTCCGGGAGGGCGTTCCCGCGGCCCGGCCCCGCGCAGGGAGGGGGGGGAGGGTGCGGCCGCGCCCCGGGCCCGGCCCGCCTCGGGATTCGGGGTCTCTCTCGCCCTCGGGGACCCGGGCACCCGGCGGAGCGGGGTCCGGGCGCCGCCGCCTCCGCGGGCGCCGGGACGCGCGGGCGAGCGCGGGGCTTTATGCGCGCCGGGCGGCGGGGGGAGGAGCCGGCAGGTCGGCCCCCGGCGGCCCTCCCCTCGGCCGTCCCCGCCCGCCCGCCCGAGCGGGGTCGGGGGAGGGGGCAGCATGGCCTGTCCGTCCGGCCCCCTTCGCCGCGCACCTCATCTGCCCCGCGCCGATCGCTGCCGCCGCCGCCGCCGCTCCGCTGCCCGCGCCGCCCGCGGCTCCCGATGGAGACTGACGCGCCCCAGCCCGGCCTCGCCTCCCCGGACTCGCCGCACGACCCCTGGTACGGCCCGGCCCGGCCCGCCCGGCCTGCCCGGCCCGCGCCCGCCCCGGCCCCGCCAACATGGCCGATCCGGGTCGGGCCGGGCCTCCCCGGCGCCCGGGCCCGCGCCCCCCGCGCCCCGGCTCCCGGCGCTCACGCGGGCCCTTTGTGTCTCTCCTGCTCCCGCAGCAAGATGTTCATCGGGGGACTCAGCTGGCAGACGACGCAGGGTGAGCGCGCCGGAGCCGCCGGCCGCAGGGCACCCGGACCCGGCGCCGAGCGGACCCCCAGCTCGGCCCGCGCCCGCTGACCCCGGCGCCCGGCGCTCCCTCCGCGCCCCGCCCGGGACCCCGAGAGCGCGGGGCGATCGGCGAGCGCGCACGGCCCGGCGGGTGGAGGGGAGGAGGCGAGGGGCTCGGGGGGCGCCGGGGGGTGGGCTGGGCCCCCGGGACCCGCCGGCGGCAGCGCCAACTCCGCTCGCACCTGCGGCTCAAACTTTTGTGAGGCGGCTCCCGGCGCGGCGGGAACCGGCCGGAGTCGTCCCCCCTCCAGCCCCGCGCGGCCCTCGGCTTCCTGGGGCCCCTGCGGGCGCCCGGAGCCGGCACGGGAGCCCGGGGAGGGCGGGGGGTGGGTACGAGCGCTCCGGCCGCCGGGCGCGGGGGCGGCGGGGCCGCGCGGGTCACCGGGGGCAGAGGACGGGGGAGGGGAGGCCGGGCGGGCCGGTGCGAGGCGGGCGTGTGTTGCAGAAGGGCTGCGCGAGTACTTCGGCCAGTTCGGGGAGGTGAAGGAGTGCCTGGTGATGCGGGACCCCCTGACCAAGCGATCCAGGTGAGCCCCTCGCCGCCCGCCTGCGCGCGCCCCGCCCGCTCTCCGCCGGGTCACCATCTGCCTCTCCTCCCGCGCAGGGGCTTCGGCTTCGTCACCTTCGTGGACCAGGCGGGGGTGGATAAGGTGCTGGCGCAGTCGCGGCACGAGCTCGACTCCAAAACAGTGAGTGGCCTCGCGGCTCCGGGGTCCTGGGGAGCGGGAGGCCGCGGAGGAGAGTCGGGGCTCTGCCCGGGGGCAGTCGGACGGGGTCCGGACGGAAGGGGGGAGCTTTCCGAGGAGAAGGGCTGCCAGGCTCGGAAACTTTGTCACTAGACTTGAAGGCAGAGAGAAGAGAAACCACCCAGGCCTGCCCTGAGCTGCTCCATCCCAACCCCTCCAGTGTAGGTGAGGGAAGGCTCAGCTACCGCCCCCCCCCTCCCCCCCCCGCGCACCTCTGGCCCCCCATAAGTGCTCGTCTTCAGGCCTCCGGGAGGAGGCTGGGGTGGGGCGAGGGCTGCAGGGACCCACCCCGTGGCTTCTGTGAACTGCAACTAGTACTTGGTGCTGACACCCCCTCATTCCAGACCAATGGCAGCGCATCCCTGAACACCCCCCTCCCGCCTCCCCTGACTTTTGGGCAGTGAACTCCTTGCTCTGTGACCTGCTGGACCCAGGAAGGGTTCCTGAGGGGGAGCCAGCCTGCCTGGAAAGAGCCCTTTGAGGCTGGCTCTTAGCGGCCTGTTTGGGATTCAAACTGCTGGAACACTTTTGCTGTTGTCCCACTGCTCCCCGGGGTCTTGGGTCCTGCAGGGGGCGCTGGCCCAGGCCCCGGCTCAAGGGGAGAGGGAAACGGAGAAAGTGATAGGGGTTACTCTGCGATGGGGTGACCTGTGACTGGGGAGACCATCTGCCCAGGGCCGGGACAGCGTGCTCTCTCTCCACACTCCCCCACTCTCCGCCAGCCCTGGGCCTCCCTACTTGGGGCCGGCACTGGCTCCTGTTTACCTGCAACAATAGCTGGTTGTGCCCAAGAATTTGTTAAGTTACCGCCCGTCCCGCTCCTGTTATCTCGGCCAGGGCTCCCACTCCTGCTCCAGTGAGGAGCAGATGAGGCCAGGCCTCAACTTTGCAGCTCTGAAAGGATCTTCTTGGCTCAGCCTGAGTGACCCAAGCTGGGAATGGAGAGACAGTGGCCTATTGTTTTTGGTGATTATCTGCCATCAAGCTGCCTGTTCTCCTACCATCCCCTGTCCTCAGAATGCACGGTGGCTTCTGCACCTCTGTGTCCTGAGATGCTGGGGCTGGGGCTGGGGGAATGGAAGGTTGATAAGGGCCAGAAGAGAGGGGAGGAAGGAGGGCGAGATGGCCTCCCTCTGAGATTTAGAACTCAGGGGCAAAGGTCTTGTGTTTGGCATTCTCTGGCCCGAGTTAGGGGTGGTGGGAGGGAGGTTTATTGTGGGGAGTCTATTTTGGGTTCTGACTTTCACCTTTTATTTACTTGTTGGGTTTTATTTATGTTGCCAGCTGTGAGTCAGTGGAGGTGGGGAGTATCCGGGTAGGGTGTGTGTGGGTCTGCTGGACGGAGCTTGGGTACCATCTCATCTCCCCATGGGGTGGGGTCTGCGCGGGGGACTGACTGAGGGGTGCTCCCTTGGCTGGGGAGGCCGCTTCCAGGAGAAACGGGAGGAGGAAAACATGTACAAAATCACACCTTCAGACGGGGAAATGGTCAGCGGTGATTTTCCCTGGAGCCCAGTGGGACTCTGGGAGAGCGGAGGCACTGCCCTCGCATGGATTTGGAAGGTTCCTTGTCTGTGGGCGAATCCCAGTGGGGGAGCCTCGAGGAAGCTGGCCCTTGGTTTGTGCCGTTCAGGCAGAGAGCCGGTGGCCTAGAACAAGGCTGAGTTTTGAACAGAAGGAACTTTGGGAAAAGATAGCTCTTGCCTGCGATTGGCTGGCGAACTTCTGAATGGTGCCCACCCATGTGGGTGCCAAGAAACTCTGGAATGACCGGGCCTCATAGGTCCTGCATTGATCACAGTGCCTCATGCCCTGCCTTTTAAGTACAGGTAGAGCACCCTGGCATAACCACATGCATGTTGCTGTTCCCTTCTGGCTGGTTGTTCACAGCCCAGGGCAAAGGTGGCCCCTGGGTAATAGCGCCTTTGCTTGTGCAATGAAGGGCAGTTCACAAAGGACCGCTTTCACCCTCGTTATCTCATTTGATTTCCCCCAGCCGCCCCTGTGAAAAGCGGATGTGATTGTCCCCACTTTGCAGATGAGGGAACTGAGGCTCAGAGGGGCCAGGCAAGTTCCCGAGAGCACAGGCTCGGCCAGGGGCCCAGAACTTCTGAGTCCAAGTCCTCCGGCCGTGCACGTCACCAAAGCCTGGGCTCTGCCTCACCGGAGCCTAGCGCGTTCTCAGGAAGCTGTGTGCAGCCTCGGGGAGAGCTGTTAGGTGTCGGTAACATCAGGGAAACAGAACTGAGTGCATTCCTGGTGGTTTATGGACTCTTATCTTGAAGCTAAGGCTTTCCATTCCCAAGCCTTCAAAGTCTGAATTGCAGGCCTCGCCTAGACAGGTGTCCGTCTGTGTGAAGTCAGTTCAGCTGGGAAGGTCCTCGAAATACCTGGTGCTTAAAGGACTAAGACTGTGCTTGTTTTGGGGCGCTCTTGCTGTAAGCTAGACACCCTGCCAAGTGCTTTGCAAGCGTTATCTCACACAGCCTGCAGATGGCCCTAGGAGGTGGATGCCACTCTTTGTCCATTTTACAGGTGACCCTGACCCTGAGGCTCAGAGAGTTTAAATAATTTGCCTAAGGTCTTTACAGCTGGGAGGTAACTTAAGTGGGATTTGAACCCCGTAGCCTGGCTCTAGGGCCTAAATGCTTAATCACTGCACTTTCCTGCTAGAGGCTAGTTTCTGTCACCTCTGTGTCCTGGGATGAGAAAGGCCTTCAGGGCTGCAAGTTGTGTGGTAACCCATCAATGTGTGATAACCAAGGCCCTTTCTCTTTCAGATTGATCCCAAGGTGGCCTTTCCCCGGAGAGCACAGCCTAAGGTAGGTGTGTGTCTGTCTGGGAGGAGCTCTATTACGGAGGGCAAAGATGTTCCCAGCATTCCTTTCTGTGAAAGATGCTTCTGGAACCTCTGTATGGACTGGGATGGGGGGAGGGAGGATTCCCGATAGCCTTGCTCTGTAGATTGAAGACACCATGTATCATCTTTCCATCTGTGCTCTGGGGCGGACTGGGAAAGGGGCTGCATGTGTTGGAATAAGGGGAACCTCTAAGCAGCGGATCTCAACCTGTGGGTCACGACCCCTGAAAATACATCCTGCATATCAGATATTTACATTACGATTCATAACAGTAGCAAAATTACAGTTATGAAGTAGCAACAAAAATAATGTTATGGTTGGGGGTCACCACAACATGAGGAACTGTATGACAGGGTCGCGGCGTTAGGAAGGTGGAGAACCACTGCGTCTAAGGGGACTCATTGTCCTGTATTTGAAGCCACTTTGGTTTGGACCCTGAGTGGAATTCTCACCTCGGAGATCACAGCCTCTGTTCCCAGTGCCCTGGGGGTCAAATCCAGGACAGACCTACCCCCTGAGGCTGAGCTAGAAGAGAAGGGCCAGGGAGCTGCTTCTGACCCCTGTCACCCTGCTACCTCTGGATGTGTTGGGCTTGAGGAGGGGGAAGGGACCGTGGAGTCCATCACCTGCTGTCTTTCAACTTGGGTGACCGTGGCTGCCCTCCTAAAAGTGCTCTCTTTCCCTGGTGCTGTGGCAAGTTTTTCTGGGTGTGCGGAAAATGGATTTCTGAGCAGTTGAGCTATATAGCACTCAAAACTTTTGGTCCAGGGCAGAGGCCTAAGATTCTATTCCAGGCCCCAGGGCAACTAGCCGGATTGTAATTTTTAAGCAGTTGAATATAGGAGACAGACAGGAAGGCTGGTTACAGAACAGGGGCCCTGTGTCTCTGACTTATCAAGTGTCCTAAGACTGGGCCCCACTTCAGGAGATCTTCCTTTCTCCTTTGCAAGAGGGGTGGTGGGCACTGAGATGCTCGAGGGTTCTGAGCCATGGTGCCCAGCTCCTGCCACAGCGAAGGGAGAGGGGCAACTTGTAAGAGGCAGGAAAGGGGCATCTCTGGAAGGGCCTGAAAGCAATTATGGAGCAGGTATTCGAAGGCAGCCACGCCGGGGAGCACATGGTCGGAACTGGGTTAATTCCATTAAGCAGTTTGGTGACAGAAGGTGCTTTAGTGTTAGGATGGGGCTGGGAATTGCTGTGGATTAGCCATGCGCTCCTGGGGTAATTAGGACCATGTGTTCTTCCTAAAACAGGACTGGGGCCACAGGGCTGCCAGAGGTTGGATTGGGAGGAGATTGATGAGGAAAATGTCGGCATGGAGTTTAGGGAGACCCTGTGATGGGCCTTGGCCTCTCCCAGGGGGAGCTGGTGGGGTCTTTAAGTTAGGCTGTATGTAGGTCTGGGTCACTAACCCACCCCCTTCTCTGTGGTGGTCTTTTTTTTTTTTTTTTTTTTTTAATATATTTTATTGATTTTTTACAGAGAGGAAAGGAGAGAGATAGAGAGTTAGAAACATCGATGAGAGAGAAACATCGATCAGCTGCCTCCTGCACATCTCCCACTGGGGATGTGCCCGCAACCCAGGTACATGCCCTTGACCGGAATCGAACCTGGGACCTTTCAGTCCGCAGGCCGACGCTCTATCCACTGAGCCAAACCGGCTTTGGCACTCTGTGGTGGTCTTTAGGGAAGGCATTTTCCCCATAAGACCCCAGGGAGGGAGGCAGGAGGGAGGCACATTGGAGCCAGCCAGGGTGTGGGGTGCACAGCTGCCTGTGACAGGCCTAGAGGCGGGGGTTCGAGGGGGAGCTCAGGGGGGGCCTTCCGAGTAGCTGGGGCCACAGAGAGCTTGTCAGCTGGCGCCCTGGCAGGAGGGCTCGAGCCCCTGCTGGTGGCAGTAGGCCACAGGACTCAGATGCCCACTTTCTCATTCTCTCCCCCTAACAGATGGTGACTCGGACGAAGAAGATCTTTGTAGGGGGGCTGTCAGTGAACACCACGGTGGAGGACGTGAAGCAGTATTTTGAGCAGTTCGGGAAGGTGGGTCCAATCTGGGGGCTTGCTGGGGGCGTGAAACGCCTGGAGTTGGTCAGTAGCGAGCAGAGTCCAGCCAGGTCATTCCAGTTACTGCAAAAGGTGAAAGAGGGGTGGGTCCTTCTGAGGGTGAGGCAAGGCCAACCCACTGTTCAGGCTCCTGGCCTGCCCGTGGGCCTCACACTCTGGACACGTCCCCAGGGACAGAAGCCACACAGTAGCTCTCTCTGTTGTTGCCCTTCGCCTGTGTTTTTCTCTTCCTTATCTCCATTCTCCCGAGGGAGGCCGCTCTCCTGTAGCCAGTTCAATCCAGTCACCCCCTTGGCCTCCTGGGAGCTTGCACCTGTCCAGGCCATGGGCGGCTGCACCTTCCCCCACTCCTTCCTGGTGAGGATGATAAGGAGGCAATAAATAGGACTCCCAATTGCACCAACACTCGGCTGGCACAGGTGGGAGTTTGGGGCAGGAGCTGGGGAGGGGGGTGCTGATCTTCTACCTATTTATTAGTGTGTGTGTGTGTGTGTGTGTGTGTGTGTGTGTGTGTGTTGGGGGAGGGGGGTGCTGGAGATCAGGCCCAGAGGTTTGGCTCTCTGCTCGGAGATGCATCCAGCTTTAATTGCCGGGCTGTTTGTGAAGTATAAGATGTAGCGACAGCAGACCATAGGCTGTCCCCAGAAAGGTGAGCAGTGTCAGACAGAGCCAAGGTTCCAAGATGGCCAGGAGGGGACCAAGTTTTAATCTGAGGATGAAGCAGGACTGTGTGCGTAGCACTGGGCCCCTGATCGGCTCCTGCGTGAGGCAGGCTGCAGGCTGGGTCTCTGCTCTCCTATCAAAGCATCTGCAGGTCCCTTTTAGGCAAAGGGCAAAGAGGTGGCTTGGGAAAGAGGATGTGAGTTGGCGACGAGGTGAGTTTCCAGCGCCCTGTCTCTAGGGGAGAGGCCAGAAGGTGGGGGGTCCCGGGCCGGCGGATGCTGGCGGCGTGGGGGCCAGAGGCCCAGGCTCAGGCGCCTCCGTGGGGACCTGGGTCCCGGACGGAGGGCAGGTCGGCGGCCTGGGCCCCAGAGGGAAGGACGCTCCTGGGAAGCAGCAGGCCCGCTCGCTCCGGCGGGGTGTCTTTGTGTCTGAGCGCCGAGCATTAGAGCTCGCACTAATCTGATCCAGCAGCTGTGATTGGAGGCCGCCTGCCCCCGGGGCCGGCGTCGCCATGGCAACCGGGCCCCAGGAGAAGCCGTCAGCGGCCGCGTCTTTTGTTCGGGCCTAAATCGGCGTTGGCATGTGAAACCGGCCCGGGGAGGCCAGGGGGAGCCGGAGAATAGGCTGCCAGGGAGCGAGGGGGACAGCCGGGAATGCCAAGGGCCCGGCGGCGGGGGGGCCCCGCCCGGATCGAGGGGCCGCCGCCGAGGGGGGAACAATGGTCAGCCGCCATGGCTGCCACTCAGGCTTAGGGGCTGCCGAACTTGGCGGCTCCCACTGGTCAGCAGGCCCGGCCGCCTCCCCTCCCCCTGCCCCAGCCCCCCTGCCCTCGGGTTCCCATGGAGACCAAAGCCTATTAAGGACACCGCGCTGGGAGCCTCTCTCCCCTGAGCTGGCCCCAGGAGGGGACACTGGTGGGGGTCCTCTGGTCCCCCAGCCACTTCCCTGGCTCCCTGCCCTGGCCTCGACCCCAGTGCCCCGCTAGGGTCTGTCCAGCCAGAACTCAGGTGGAAGGGTCTGGGGGTCAGGGATGGGGGGTTGGAAGATTGGGTAGAGGAAGGCAAAAAGGGCTGTGGATTTGGGCTGAAATCAGTTTGTGAATCAGGCAGGAGCTCAAAGTGATAGTATCAGAGGGCTGATTCTTAGTTCGTTCATTCATTCATTCATTCATTCAAAAAATAATTTTTGAGCCCAAGTCAAGATGCTCAGTCCCTTGGTTATGGTAATCGCCGACACAGGCACTGTTCGCGTGAAACCTTCGAAGGCAGTGGTGCGGGGCTGCTCTCTCCAGCTTTGCCCTCTCCCGTGTGACTGTGGGCAAGCCCCTCCATGATAAGGTGATAATAAATAGTCATTATTTATTAAGCACTTACTGTATCCCGGGAACTATGAATTGAGTGTTACATGCACTGTGTCATTTAACTCCTCCCTAAGACACTCTTACACCAGTTTCACAGATGAGTAACCTGAGTCACGGAGACACAGAGACACTTGCCCAGGATTACCCACCAGCAAGTGCAGGACCTCGGATCTGAATTCAAAGCCTGTGCTTTTATACAGCCCTCCTTGCTGGGTCTCTCTTCCACGGTTGAGGGGGTGGGGAGGACGTGCTAAGCCTGCAGTGTCTGTCTCGTTTGCAGAGTTGAGCAGATTTGGGATGGGGACTCAGAGAGGGTCCTGAGGATGAGCGTGAGGGTGACACTCCCCAGGAGGACACCAGGGCAGGAGAATGTCATTTCCTTCACAGAGTCTCCAGGACCCAGCTCCCTCCGGGCTCAGTGGGGTCCTGGCTCCCTCAGCGGGGCAGTCAGAGGCCCTATTCCACTCGGAGCCTGTGAGCGCTGGAGGGCCACCCTGTTCAGGGATTGCCCTTTCCTTCAAGGAGGCACATGGCAGGCCTGGAAAGAAAGCGAAGGAGCGTGGGGGAGAAGCTGTGCCCCTGGGGGAGAAGCTGTGCCCCCGGGGGAGGAGCTGTGCCCCTGGGGAAGGAGCTGTGCCCCTGGGGGAGAAGCTGTGCCCCTGGGGGAGGAGCTGTGCCCTACGCTTCAGGAAGTTTTCCTTCAGCCCTTGGGTGTGTGACCACTTGTGTGTGTGTGTGTGTGTGTGTGTGTGTGTGTGTGTGTGTGTGAGGGGGTGTCAGCGGCTGAAATGCAATGGAGGGTTATCAGAGGCAACCCTTGATTTCCACCAAGGATGAATCAGACCTTAGCGTAACCCCATGAGTTAGCTGACATTGGCTGAAGAATTAAGGGGCCAGGAGGATGCACCAGCTGTAGGCAAAGGGAAGGAGGTGGGACTATAGGAGGGAAGCTAAGACCTCTGGCTGACCAAGTATCCAAAGGGATGCCTTGAGGGAGTAGCCAGAAGAGAAAAGCCTGGGGTCCAAGGGAGGGAGGATAGTGTACTGTAGACCCTCCCTTTTCCTCAGCCCCTTCCCCTCCCCCAGTCAGTGGGAGGCAAGCAGCCCAGGCACTGAACTCTACTTGGTTTAATTACAGCCTCTAGCAAAAGGAAACCTCAATTAGAGGAAAAACTCTGTACCAGGAGAGGGGAGTTGAGACTGGCTGTAGAGGCTGCTGTCCTCCTGGCCTTTTGCAAAAAGGGAAGAGGCTTTTGCTTCCCCATTTCAGGTCTTGAGCTTGTATTTCCTCCTCTAGTGCCCACTCAGTGCCTCTTCCTCTCAGACTTGATCTAAGATTTGCTGTGTGACCTTGGGCAGGTGACTTCACCTCTCTGATCCCATTTCCTTATGTTCAAAATGAGGATCTCACCGTGCAGGGAATGTGGAAAGGATTATGGGACAAAGTGCCAGGCACATACTTGGCGCTTAATATTTGCTGGCTGGTCCATTGGGAATCTGGTGGTTGAAAGGGGTTGTGGGTAGAAAGTTGTCCCCAGCGTGGGGAGCAGGTTTAAGATAAAGCCTGGCCTGGGGAAAAAGGGGACCGGAACAGGTGTGGGAGGCCCTGCTCCTGAGTTGTGGTGGGCCCCCTGGTATCGGGTGGGTCCTCCAACAACAAAATGGCTCTGTTTCAGGTGGATGATGCTATGCTGATGTTTGACAAAACCACCAACCGGCACCGAGGTGAGTGTGGCCCCTCCCCCTTTCCAGGCCAGGCTGGGGGCCTGTGGTCAGCCAGGGGCTGCAGGTCACAGCTGCCCTTTCATCTCTCCTCCTGACATCCTATCCCTGAGGATCTGCATCCTCTCTGGGGCCTGGCCTTACAGAAGGCTTTTGTCCCGCCGTTTCCTGTGCTAGAAACTTGCAGAATTGCAGACACCCGAGAGGAGCAGCCTCTCCCCCAGCTGAGCCCTCCCCCCCACTCGGCCTGCTGTCTGCCCAGCCAGTGTCTGTACTGGGGCTTACCTTGTCCCTGGTAACCAGAGCGCAGGCCAGGCTGCCCCAGGGTCAGGCTGACTTGCTGACTCAAAGCCCTTCGCCCCCCACCCCCCTCCGGCAGAGCCCAGCCCCCAGTCCCCTTGCCCCTGAACCTGGGAGCATCTGGGCCACAGTGTTTGCACAGCCCGGTTGTTTTTCTCCCAAAGGCCTTGCCTCCTGAGACTCCCATTCCAGTCCCGGGGCACACGGGGAGGAGGCAGGGCTGTGTCTCCAGTTGCTTCAGGACTTTGGGCCTTTTACCCTGTTGTGGGAGTGGGGTCTGTGCGCTGTCTGTGGATACCTGCATGGGAAGGTGTCAGTGTCTGAATGTTTGTGTATGTCTGTTGTATCAGGGGTCTTTATGTGTTTGGAAGTACGTGTGTGTGTCTACCTGTGCGTGTGGCTGTACAAACATATGTTGGGTGTGCACACTTCTGTGTGAGTTTACATGAGGGTCTGTGCGTGTTCCTCCCTTCCTCTTTGGAAAGCATCTGGGGAAGAGAAAGGGCCGGGGAGTGAAATTTCGTCAGAGCTCTGCCGCTTTCCCTTGCTGTGTGATCTTGAGCAAAGCGCTTCCCTTCCCTGAGCCTTGGTGTTCACATCTGTGATTTGGAACGAGGAACCCTGTCTCGGCAGGTGTTGAGAGGCTCCTGGGCTGAGGACACGGCCTCTTGTTAACGCTCAGACACTCCCCTGCAAGAGAGGAGGTGGTGTTGGTATGACTTGGTGCTGGGTTTTGACCATGAGCCGGTTCTGACCCTGTGTTTGCCCTCTAGGGTTCGGATTTGTCACTTTTGAGAGTGAAGACATCGTGGAGAAAGTGTGTGAAATTCATTTCCATGAAATCAACAACAAAATGGTGAGCTGGGGTTGGGCGGGGTGGGGGTGCAGAGAGAGGCTTTGGCTCCTAGCTGAGCCAGCCAGGGGCACTCAGAGACTCTGGAGGCAGGCAGAGGGGCTCCGTCAGTGGGGTTGAATCAGTCCCCCACACCCTGAAAATCTGGATAGCAAGGCAGTGTCCTGTGGTGGTTAAAAAGCCTGGGGTGGGGGTGGGGGTGGGGGCGGGGGGAGCAAAAAATAAAAAAGCAGGGATTGAAATCCTCACTCCACTACTTGCTAGTCTAGTCGTTGGGCAGATGATTTTCGCTCTCTGAGCCTCAATTTCCTCGTCTGTGAAATGGGAGTGACAATAGTACCTTCACGATTGGGTTGGTGTCAGTAAGCATTCATGAACTATTGCCTGCAAGCTATTTACACAGTGCCCGGCCCAGAGTGAGCGCTCTGTACACGGCAACTGACATTAACCGTAAAGAGGCCGCCCGGGAACCCAGGGTGGGTGACCCTAGGACTGTAGGAGGAACTGACCGCCACGTCTCATTGCAGGTGGAATGTAAGAAAGCTCAGCCAAAAGAGGTGATGTCGCCGACCGGCTCAGCCCGGGGGAGGTCTCGAGTCATGCCCTATGGAATGGATGCCTTCATGCTGGGCATCGGCATGCTGGGTATGTGCCAGGGCTCCCAGGGCTGCTGCGTGTGGTATCGCCTCTGCGGTCTGCCCTGGTCTGCCCTCCTCGCTTGAGTCATTGGGTGGGAGTGGGGACGGAGGCCCTCAGGTCTGGCGGGCCTGCAAAGGTGGGTAGTTTGTTGTGGGGCACTGCCCTCTGGTGGTGGCCAAAAGAATGGTCCAGCTGCTCTTCACTCGGTCTTGTCCATCCATCCATTCATCCATCCAGTAAACAGGTATTAAGCAACTATAAACGCCAGGCACTGTGCCAAGAAGCACGACAGTGCCTATCCTGGGACCTTAATGGTTTGGCATGGAAAAAAAAACAGTAATAACATAAATACATGGCTTCAGGATGGAGAAGTGTAGGGTGCCAAGGGAGCATGGGTCATAGGGCACTTAACTAAGACTTGAAGAAGCCAGAAAAGAAGATACATTTCAGCTGAGTCTGCAGAGTAAGTAGGAGCTGGGGGAAAGGGAAGGGAAAAGTGTTCCAGGCAGAGGGAACAGCACTTACAAAAACCAAAGGCCTTTGGGAAGGGAAAAAGGCTGCTGCTTGTTCATTCAACTAATATTGATTGAGCAGCTTCTGAGAGGCAGCACCTGCCCTCATGGGGTTTCCCATCAAGTGGGAGACAGGAGTGAATTGGCAATGTCACCACAGAGGGACTGGAAGCAGTGGGAGCCCAAAGAGAAGCCTAAACCCACCTGGGAGTCAGGGAGGCCTCCTGGAGGAGGTGAGGGCTGCCATGAGTCTCAGAATTTGAGCAGGATCAGCAACACCTGGGGCCCGCGATTGAGGGTGGAAAATCTGAGCTGGGCCCCCAGGAAGTTCACAGGTTCCCTGGGGAGACAGGATGTGCACACACAGAACGGGGTCTTTATGCTGGGGAGGGGGAAGGGGTGCGCTGGGAATTCCGAGGAGGGGGATATAATGTGGCTAGAGGGCCAGGTTTGGGGTCACAGATGAGGTGGGTGAGGACGGCACCCTCCAATTGGCGCATGGTCTTCTCGAAGTTTTGGGTGGTTTTTTCTCTTTACTTTTTTTTTTTTTTTTTAATATATTTTATTGATTTTTTACAGAGAGGAAGGGAGAGGGATAGAGAGTTAGAAACACCGATGAGAGAGAAACATCGATCAGCTGCCTCCTGCACACTCCCCACTGGGGATGTGCCCCCAACCAAGGTGCATGCCCTTGACCGGAACCAAACCTGGGACCCTTGAGTCCGAAGGCTTATGCTCTATCCACTGAGCCAAACCGGTTACGGCTCTTTACTTTTTATATGGGAGTAGTTGCAAACTTTCAGAAGAGTTGAAAACATGAAGTAGCACACAGAACACCCATATACCCTTTACCAGATTCATCTGTTATTAACATTATACCCACTTACTTTGTCATTCTCTCTCTCTCTCTCTCTCTCTCTCTCTCTCTCTCTCTCTCTCCCCCTCTCCGACTCTCTCTCTCCCCCCCTTCTCTCTCTCTTCATACATATGTCTACACACACACATAATACACTTGTGATTTTTCCCTGAATTATTTGAGTAAATTGCATGCATTATGGCCTTTTACCCTTAAATACTTCACTGTGTATTTCCTAAGATTAGGGATATTCTTTCATGAGACTACATAATAATTGCCAGCGTTACACATTTATATTAATATGGTATTTTAATCTAACCTATCTGTTTCTGACATGCCTGGTTGGCCCAGTAATGTTCTCTAGAGCATATTTTGCCTCCACGAACGAGCCCAGGGCTAGAGTCACGCCTTGCGTTTAGTTGTCCTGTCTCTTTAGCCTCCTTTGATCTGGAACGTGGAGAAAGTTTTCTTCTCTTTCTTTTTTTTTTTTTTTGGATTAATTAAATCTTTATTGTTCAGATTATTACATTTGTTCCTCTTTTTCCCCCCATAACTCCCCTCCACCCAGTTCCTACCCCACCCTCCTCCCTCCCTCCCCACCCACTGTCCTCATCCATAGGTGCACGATTTTTGTCCAGTCTCTTCCCGAATCCCCCTCACCCCTTTCCCCCACAAGAATGGTCAGTCCACTCGCTTTCTATGTCCCTGATTCTATTATAATCACCAGTTCATTCTGTTCATCAGATTATTCACTTGATTTTCAGATTCACTTGTTGATAGATGTGTATTTGTTGTTCATAATTTGTATCTTTACTTTGTTCTTCTTCTTCCTCTTCTTAAAGGATACCTTTCAGCATTTCATATAATACTGGTTTGGTGGTGATGAACTCCTTTAGCTTTTTCTTATCTGTGAAGCTCGTTATCTGACCTTCAATTCTGAATAATAGCTTTGCTGGATAAAGTAATCTTGGTTGTAGGTTCTTGGCATGCATCACTTTGAATATTTCTTTTTTTTAAAATATATTTTATTGATTTTTTAGAGAGAGATAGAGTCAGAAACATCGATGAGAGAGAAACATCGATCAGCTGCCTCCTGCACATCTCCCACTGGGGATGTGCCCGCAACCCAGGTACATGCCCTTGACCGGAATCGAACCTGAGACCCCTCAGTCCGCAGGCCGACGCTCTATCCACTGAGCCAAACCGGTTTCGGCAGTTTGAATATTTCTTGCCACTTCCTTCTGGCCTGCAAAGTTTCTGTTGAGAAATCAGCTGACAGTCGTATGGGTGCTCCTTTGTAGTTACCTACCTGACTTTCTTTCTCTTGCTGCTTTTAAGATTCTCTCTTTGTCTTTTGCTCTTGGCATTTTAATTATGATGTGTCTTGGTGTGGTCCTCTTTGGATTCCTTTTGTTTGGGGTTCTCTGCGCTTCCTGGACTTGGAAGTCCATTTCTTTCACCAGGTAGGGGAAGTTTTCTGTCATTATTTCTTCAAATAGGTTTTCAATATCTTGCTCTCTCTTCTTCTGGCACCCCCATAATTGAGATGTTGGTACGCTTGAAGCTGTCCCAGAGGCTCATTACACTATCTTCATATTTTTGGATTCTTTTTTCATTTTGCTTTTCCGGTTGGGTGTTTTTTGCTTCTTCGTATTTCAAATCGTTGACTTATTCTTGCGATCCTTTAGTCTGCTGTTGGGATTCTGTATAATATTCTTTATTTCAGTCAGTGCATGCTTAATTTCTAGTTGGTCCTTTATCACAACCTCAAGGGTCTCATTAGATTTCTTGTAGGTCTCATTAAGTTTATCGGCAGTTTCTAGAAAATTCTTGAAAAACCTTAAAAGTGTGGTTTTGAACTCTATATCCAGTAGTTTGCTGTCCTCCATTTCTGTCATTTGTGTCCTTTTTCTTTGTCTCCGCATTTTTTTATGCTTCCCTGTGTTGATAAAGTGGTTTTCTGTGCTGAGTGTCCTCTAGGGCCCAGTGGTTCAGCCTCCCCAATTACCTGAGGAAGACACTCTTGGTGCACCCCCTTGTGGTCTTTGTGCACAGTCTTGTTGTAGTTAAGCCTTGATTGTTATAGGTATCACTGGGAGGGATTGACCTCCAGGCCAATTGGCTGAGAATCAGCTGTGTCTGCAGTGGGAGGACTTCTGTGCTGGAGACACCCCTCTGGGGCAAGACTTGCTTCAATGGGGCTTTGTTGCTCACTGAGTCTGCCCCCTGAGTGTGTCCTTTATGGTTCCATGGAGCTGCAAACTGGGTGGTCCCACTCTGACCTCTGGGTTTCCTGGCTCCTGGATCTCTAGGGAGGTGCTAATCTAGCCTTTGCCTGAGGCTATCCAGCAAAAGCCTCCCTGCAGGGCTTGGGCGGGGTGGGTCCCACGGGATCAACAGGGCGGGGCTAGCAGTTATGGCTGCTCTCGGAGGCTCCGCCTCTCAGTGTCTGGGCAATCGCTGCAAGCCCCTCCAAGAGAAAGCTGCCCTTGAGTTCTGACCGATGCCAGACAGTCCCGCTTCTCCCATATGAGTCTGGGTCCCCAGAGACTCGCCTGGAACTGGAGCTCAGAGCCTGAGACTCCCTCCTGATTGAAAACGACAACCGCGCCCTCCGCCGCCAGCCCGCTCCGTGTGCGCCTCTGTACCTTAGTATTTTACTTCCGCACTGCGCCTCCTCTGAGTCTCGGTATGCTTTTCTCTTTCCTTCTAGTTGTGGAATTTCCACTCAGCCAGCCTTTCTGTGGTTCTGGATGAAGTCCGTTCCGTCTTTTAGTTGTATTTTTGAAGTGGTTGTTCGAGGCAGCAAACTCCAGTGTTTACCTATGCCGCCATCTTGGTTTCTCCCGAAAGTTTTCTTTTCAAGGCGATTTGTTTCCACCCTATTTAAAGATTGAAAGCAGAAAAGGGAGTCCTCTGACAGCTCGTGAGAATGGCGGCTGGGTGGCTTGGAGCGTGTCAGATGTGAGCCTGAATCCCATTTACACCGTTATTATTCCTAAATGACTTGGTTCACAGCTCTGAGTACTTGTTAGACGCAAGCACTGTGCTGGTGCTGGAGATTCAGACGGAGACGATGGAGGAAACAGAAAGTCAGCACTTAAATTCTTTTTTTTTAAAATATATTTTATTGATTTTTTACAGAGAGGAAGGGAGAGAGATAGTTAGAAACATCGATGAGAGAGAAACATCAATCAGCTACCTCCTGCACATCTCCCACTGGGGATATGCCCGCAACCCAGGTACATGCCCTTGACCGGAATCGAACCTGGGACCTTCCAGTCCGCAGGCTGACGCTCTATCCACTGAGCCAAACCGGTTTCGGCAGCAGCACTTAAATTCTGAAATAGATTCTGATAATGGTCTCCAGGGCTCTGAAAGGGAGAAGCCAGGGTGATACGGTAAATATTGTAACTCTTGTGGGATGACCTCTCTGAGGAGGTGACATTGAGCTAAGGTTTGCACAATGAAAAGGACCCAGTCATGTGAAAACCTGGTGGTGGGGGGGCAGGTGGCGCGTGAGTGTTCCAGGCAGAGGGAACAGCATATGCAAAGGCCCTGAGGTGGAAAAGAGCTTGGGGAACTTGCCCTAACCGGTTTGGCTCAGTGGATAGAGCGACGGCCTGCGGACTGAAGGGTCCCAGGTTCGATTCCAGTCAAGGGCATGTACCTTGGTTGCGGACACATCCCCAGTAGGGGGTGTGCAGGAGGCAGCTGATTGATGTTTCTCTCTCATCGATGTTTCTAACTCTCTATTCCTCTCCCTTCCTCTCTGTGAAAAATCAATAAAATATATATTTAAAAAAAAAAAAAAAAAAGAAGAGCTTGGGGAACTTGAGAAACAGTAGGGAGGTCAGTGTGGCTGGAGCAGAGTGACCGAGGACAGAGTATGATGAGGATGGGAGGAAGGCAGGAGCCAGAGCATGAAGGGCCTGGCAAGGGTTTGAATTATTCTTAGCCAGGAAGGGTCAGCTCTTTTGAGCCTCTGTTTTCAATCTACACAATAGAGTTCCCAATGGTAACAATTGCTTAGGGTTCTTATGAGGTTTAAGTGGGCTTGGCCAGGGCTTGGCCTGCGGAAGGTGTCCGGTACATGTGACTGGCTGTTACCTGGGAGATGAGCTGGGAGGGAAATGAGTGGCTCAGTGTTCCCGCTGACCAGGGTGAGGCATCTGACACGCGACCCCTTGCCCCATCAGGTTACCCCGGTTTCCAAGCCACGACCTACGCCAGCAGGAGTTACACCGGCCTCGCTCCCGGCTACACCTACCAGTTCCCCGGTGAGTCCTGTTCGGTGTCTCTGCTACCACCATGTCCCCGGTTCCCAGGCAGTCTGACTCCTCAGGGCGGTGTTTGGGGGTGCATGGCTGGGGCTGGGGGGCTGCCTGCTGGATGTTTGGAAGGAAGGGCATGTCTGAGGAAGGAGCACCTCTCCCCACCCACCCCTTCCTCCCCCATCCCGAGAAGCTGGGGGTGGGAGCGCCAGCGTGGCCCTGCATGGCACGTTCCCTCCCAGGCCGGCCTCCTGCCTCTCCCGCACCCGCCCCCCCCACCCACGCAGGGCTGCCACTTCCACCAGAGAGGGCACTGGGCTCGTGCAGAGGGCACAGGGCTGTGTCTGTGGACACACGGATAGTGCCACGTGCTCCCCTGAGCCCTCCAAGGCCAGCGGGACCATGTGAGACCCGGATGCTGAAAAGCAGCTTAAAAGCGTGGTGACCACCACCCTCATTTGTGACTCAAAGTGAAAACAGCACTCTGCCTTCACATGGTGGCAGGGAGCCCAGCCCAGATCTGACCTCTCCCACGATGACTATTCAGTGCTGTTTTCTCTGAAATCTCACGTGTTTGCAAGGCTCTTGCTTTCTTGGCCTTATTTTTAGAGGGTCCCAAGCACTGCCTCACTGGCCCCTCTGGCGGCCTGTGTGCACCTTCCGCGGTCTGACCCTGACAGCACCCTCGCGGGGGCAGGCTGACGCTCCCCGTGTGTAGGTGAGGAAGCGGGCTCAGAGGGGAGAGGCGGCTTGCTAAGGTGACTCGACTGGAAAGTTCTGGAGCTGGGAGCCCACCTGAGCCCGACCTGCTCTAGGTCATGGCTTTACCAACGCTGCTTCCCCAGCTCCTCCTTCCCCCGCAAAACTAGGAGTCGAGGAGGATTCTGGGGGATGTTGAGGTGCAATCTCGAGCCTTTTAAGAAACATCGGCCCGGCCAGCGTGGCTCAGTGGTTGAGCCTTGACTCATGAACCAGGAGGTTATGGTTCGATTCCTGGTCAGGGCACATGCCCGGGTTGCCGGCTCCATCCCCAGTAGTGGGTGTGCAGGAGGCAGCCGATCAGTGATTCTCTCTCATCATTGATGTTTCTGTGTCTCTCCCTCTCCCTTCCTCTCTGAAGTCAATAAAAATATATATTAAAAAAAGAAACACCAGGAATGGTAGCCCAGCTTCGCCCGTGCCCAGGGTATAGGTGGCAACTCTCCTCACTCTTTCTGCGTCTGTCTGTCTCTCCGCTCTGTGTCTGTGTCCCCTCCCCCACCCTGGCCTGCTGGGACCGTGCTCTCCCCATCCCCAGCTCTTGGGTCCTGTGCATGGCCTGTCCCCCCACCCAGTGTCCCTGTGGGTGCATTTGTCCCCCCGGCCCATGCCCGAGGGGCCTCCCTGCATCTCCCTAAGCTGTTTTACGTTTCATTTTAGAATTCCGTGTAGAGCGGACCCCTCTCCCGAGCGCCCCAGTCCTCCCCGAGCTCACAGGTCAGTTGCTCGGATTTCGTACGCCTCGCAGGCCACGTGGGGGGGAGGGATGGGGGACCCTGTTCTCCTGCCCGCCAGCCCTCCCGCTGTGGGGCTGCAGCAGACCCTGCCTGGGCACTGGCCAGTCTGTGTGGCTACACGGCCCTTGAGCAAAGTTACTCATTCATCCATTTGGCAAATATTTGTCCAGCGCTTCCCATGTCACCCACCACGCAGGCTCCGAGACCCAGTGGTGAAGAAGCCAGGGTCTCAGACTCAGAGCAGAGTGGGCCAGGTGGGGACTTGGGCAGACGGGCGGCACGCCTGCACACCACGCCCCGGCTGACCCCTGTGGGGAGGGGGTGCACACCCAGTCCATTTGGGTCTCATTTTCCAAGAGAAGCCAGAAACCCGGCCTTTGCTTTCAAACGAATTTTCCAATTACAGTGGAACCTCGTTTCTCGAACTTCATTTGCTCCGAAGGCTGTTGAAAAACCAACTCATTTTTAGCAGTCGTGTCATTGAATTAATCCGTTCCAGACCCCCAAATGCTTCCCTGTTTTAACCTTTTTTCTATACAGTACATGTCTGTTAGAATGTCTAATCTATAAATGAACACTTTAAAAACAAAAAGAACGTGAAATGGAAATGAAAATTTAACAAAAAGGAGAGGAAGTATATAGTAAAAAAATGAAAATTTCACAATAATTATAAGCAGCAACAAAAGCAAAAAAAACCACGAAAATATTTACAGCACAACGTCCTGAGATGTTAACAGTGGTAAACTGACTCGTTCGAACATTGTCTCCTTTGCTTGTCACTTGAGAGATGCGTGGCTGATCATACAGGTATCAGCACGAAAGGGTTGTCAGGTTAGGAAGCGAGATGTTTGAGAAACAAGGTTCCACTGTATTTTCAAATGTTGGCAACAAATTCTAAATTTTTGAACCACTGCGGGCCAAATGAGACCTATTCAGGGCAAACCCAGGCCTCTGGGTGCCTATTGGGGACTCTGGGCAAGTGGCCACTAGCCATTTCTCCGACTGCAGCTTTCATATCGACCCATCAGCTTAGCTCCGAGCTGGGGGCCAGGCCGAGGGGAAGGGAAGGCGCTTACAGATGAGATGGGCTGCAAGGGGTTTCTCTGCTCAACCTGCTTCTCTCCCCCGCACCCCGGACTCCCCCAACCTGCCATGCGTGGAGGATGGATGCTGCTTTCGACGAGACCTTCCTTCCAAGGGGTGCTCTGGGGTCCCCCCAAGTGGAGAAGGGAAAAGGGAAGCATGGGGTGTAGAAAGGGGAGGGAGTAGAGAACCCTGAAGGTGGGGGTGATAGAGGCTCTTCCCTGAGTAGAGTGGGGGTTTGACCAGCAATGGGGGAGACAGAAAGGGATCTTTCCTACTCATTGAGGAACGCTGTGTTGAGGACCCACTGTGTGGGACACTGCCGGGCCTGCAGTCACAGAACTTGCAGCCTAGAGAGGAGACAAATGCTTGGTAGGCAAGTGAGCTCAGTGGTGAGAAGCATGTGTGTGGATTGGCCACACGCGTTGCCTTGTGGGAATGCCTGAAGGTGCCTGAGAACAGACCTCAGAGCCCAGCCCCTGCCCCCCAAGAACAGAGGGGAGAAACGCCCCCCTCGAGCGTCTTGGCAGGGGAGGGGTCCATCCTAGAAGTCTGGGGCCTGAACTTTTCTCTTGCCTTCAGGAGACGCGGGCGTTTCAGTTATGCATTCAATAGACATTCATCATGTCAGATGCTGTTCCAAGCTGTGCAGATACAGCAGTGAGTGAGTTAGAGAAGGTCCTCCCTCCTGGAGCTGTGGCGGGAGAAGCAATAAGCAAGCAAACAAGTAAATAAGATACTTTCAGAGGGTGAGACATCCCAGGAGAACAGAACGGAGATGTGGTGCGGCGGTAGTGAGAGTGGTCAGGGAAGGCTTCTCGGAGGAGGTGACAGCTGAGTGAGAAGAAGCCGACTGCTAGTATGTGAAGCTCTTCAGCAAGCCTCCTCTGCATGTGGGAGCGGCTCTGTCCCAGACTCCAATTCCCAGCCCATTGGCCACGCCTGCATTTTCAGGGACCTTCTCAGGGATCCCTAGCCCCAGGCCCAGTTCTAGTTCAGGGTTAGGGTGACTCAAACAGCCCCAAGGGGCGCATCTTAGGATGGGAGACTGATGTTCCTGAGGGCAGATGCCTACTCTGCAGACCCTGGCTCTGGGCAGAGTTGCAGCCTCTCTGGGGCTGCAGTGACAAAGCCAAACAGCAGGGGGCGCTCACCCCAGTCCCAGGGAACTCCAGGCTCCAGCCAACCTGTTCTTTAACGTGTGGTCCCTTCTCGTCCTTCAGTGGACATTTATTAAACACCTGCTGTGTACCAGGCAGGGTGCTAGGCACTGTGGAGGTGCAGGTGGAGGTAGAAAGCAAACAAAGGGAATCGCAAGATCCCTGTGTCTGAGGAGGGGCTGAGAGGATTTGGGGGAGGCGGAGCTTGCTTCTGGCTGGCTGTGGCCAGGGGGGCCCTGAGGCAGGACATTGGATGCACAGTTTATGGAGGACATGCTCTCAGGAGAGGGGAGAGGGAGCAGGCCCGGCAGCAGAAGGAGCAGAGCGGACGTGTGGCCTCCACGGCACTGGGGCTCAGCCGGTCACGCAGGGAGATCTGGGCGGGCACCTCGGTCACCCGCATCTTAGGCAAAGGCCCGTGTCAGTCAGTCACTGGCTCCAGCTGGCTGGGTTGGGAAGAGGGACAGAACCTCCCATTTCCTTTGGGCTGGGGGACTCCTTTTGGGCCAAGGACACTCTGGAGCAGGGGCATCTGTGGGCAACGCTCAGAGCAGCTCAGGTTGAGGTGCCCCCCCCCCCATGAGTGTGGGGTGGTTCCCGTGTGTCCCTGGAGTCCAGGGGGAGCAGAGGCTGAGCCGAGGGCTGGGCCGCCATCCTGCCTCCCACCTGTGTCCATCCATTCCGCCGGTCAGGGCACCGGTGCAGCCTCAGGGAGCCCTTTCTGCCTTGACCCTGGGGCTGCACTGCCCCCTGCGGTGGGTGAGGTCTGCCCCCTCACCTGCCACTCTGAAGTGCCCGCCCCTTTCCTTTCAGCCATTCCTCTCACCGCTTACGGACCAATGGCAGCGGCGGCGGCAGCGGCAGCTGTGGTTCGAGGAACAGGTAAGGCCTTCTGGGGTGCAGGAAGCAAGGGAGGGGTGCAGGGGCAGAGAAGTCTAGAGGCGGGGAGGCAGCCACCACCACCCCTTTTAGAGAGGGTTACTGTTTATTCATCACGGGTTAGCTGAGCACCTGGCGAGCCAGCAGGAGGAAGGCCGGCCGCTCTCTGTCCTCAGGGCCTGAAGGCTGGGGGGCGTCAGGCATTAAGAAGGCGGTGATTCTGAGGGGGATACTGCTCCTCTGGGGGAGGCAGCTACAGAGGAGCTCCCAGGCCTCAGGAAGGCATCTGGGAGGAAGGACTTCACTTTCAATGTGAAAGCAAAGAGGAGGAACAGAGTTCCCGGCAGGGGGAACAGCGTGTGCAAAGGCTTTGTGTGTGGAGCGCAGGAATGGGTGTGGGAGAAGGAGGGAGGCGGGGCCAGGTCCTGGGAAGACACTGAGCGGTGAAGCAGTGGAGGGACGTGACTTCAGAAAACGCACCAGCTGCACAGGGAAAGGCTTGAAGGGCTCGGGAAGGAGGCCTAGCGATCAGTGAGGAGGCCGCGGAGTGGTCCGAAGATGATGGGGCCTGCGCCAGGGCTGGTGGGTGGGTGGACCTGGGGGACCTCCAGGAGGGGGACCCCCAGGCCCTGACGGGATGAGGCAGCGGGAGGGGTCACGGTCAGGGTGGGTGCGACCGGTGTGAAGGCTCCAGGGCTATCACTGTCTTCTTTCTGGGTTGCCAGGCTCTCACCCCTGGACGATGGCTCCCCCTCCAGGTTCCACCCCCAGCCGCACAGGGGGCTTCCTGGGCACCACCAGCCCCGGCCCCATGGCTGAGCTCTATGGGGCAGCCAACCAGGACTCAGGGGTCAGCAGTTACATCAGTGCTGCCAGCCCCGCCCCCAGCACCGGCTTCGGCCACAGTCTTGGGGTGAGTGGCTGGTCCCGGAGGACCCCCAAAGTTGGAGGAGGGAAAGGCCTTGCCTGTCTGCAGGGCAGAGGGAGGCGAGGGGCAATGAATGAGAGTGTCGCCAAGCGGGAGGACAGGAGCCCTCATTCATTCAGTGGGCGTTAAGCGATGCCCGCTGTGTGCCGGGCACTAGAGATATTGTGCCAATACGACTCACCATCTCTGCCCCAACGGAGGCTGATTCCTGCACAGGGAGGGTGGGCTCATTTTAACAAGGGCATTGCTTCTATGGCTACACGCAGCCCCGGCCCGCCTGGGGGACCTTTCAGTGAGCCTGCAGTGGGAGGAACGCAGGCAGGCCCGGGAAGGGGCTGAGCTGCACCTCTGTGTCCTGCGGGAGCAATGGCCTGGGCTTTCTCTGCTCCCCCCGAACCTAGGAGTCAACTCTTGTCTTCCCAGGGCCCCTTGATTGCCACAGCTTTCACCAATGGGTACCACTGAAGCAGGAGACAGGTGGCCAGAGGTGAGGAGGTGCAGGGGCCTTGGGCGGGGATGACCTGGGGAGGCTGGTCCCAGGAGCCCAGCCTGGGACATGGAGCCCTTCGTCCAGTGGGGGTCGGACCTTCATACCAGCAATGGTTAAGGAACATGAAAAGCTGCTCAACCTGCTACATAAAAAATATAACTGAAAACAGTAGCAGGCAAAGATCTTTTAAAGATTGCTAATGCCCAGCACTGATGAGGGTGTAAGGGAAACAGTGCAGATAGGCTCAGGGTTTCCAAAAGTCAGCCTGGCAGTGCCCACCCAGACTTTATTATTATTTTAAAATATATTTTTTATTGATTTCAGAGAGAGAGAGAGAGAGAGAGAGAGAGAGAGAGAGAGAAATATCAATAATGAGAATCATTGATCTCGGCTGCCTCCTGCACGCCCCCTTCTGGGGATCAAGCCCACCACCCGGGCATGTGTCCTTGACTGGAATTGAACCTGGGACCTTTCAGTCTACAAGCTGACACTCTATCCACTGAGCCAAACCAGCTAGGGCTCTACCCACACTTTAGACATTCATCCCCTTGACCCACCGATTCCACTTCTAGGCATTTATTTTTAAAACTGCAAATAACTGAATTGCCCAGCCAGAGGAGAGTGCTAACTGTGGGTGTGCGCATACCACGGGGCCTTACTCAGCAGCTGAAGCAGGGACTGCTGGCGGCACGCTGCACACAGCCAACATGCAGTGTATGGCGGGGGCGGCGGGGGAGGGCACGTGAGCCAGTGACCTTTCGGGTTTTATTCATTCACTCAAACAGCTATTGAGCAGGATTCCAGGAACGGGGGCCGTGTAACAGACAAAAGCCAGCGAGCCCTGGCCGGTGGCTCGGCAGGTTGGGGTGTCGTCCTGTACAGGAGGCTGCGGGTTGATTCCCCGTCAGGGCACACACCCAGGTTTCGGGTTCAATCCCAGTCGGGCGGATCCGGCCGCAGCTGGTCCATGTTTCTCTCACATCCTTGTTCCTCTCTCTCTCAAATCAATAAACATGCCCTCGGGCGAGGGTTTAAAAAAAGGGGCTTGAATCCCTAAAACAAGTTCATCGTTTTTTAAAGCAAGTGAGATCGTTCTAGATTGTGTGAGGGGCCACTTTAGGGGCTCAGGGAAGGCATCTCTGAGAAGGTGACATTGGAATAAATCCAGCCGTTTACAATCTAGGGAAGGAGCTGTCAAAACTGGGACCCCCAAGTGCCAAGCATGCGAACAGAGCTCACCTAGGAGGGAAATGGGAAGGAGGCCTGGGGGGGGGACCTGTGTTCTGGGGCCCCCGAAGAGCGGGGTAAAGGGTCACGGGGGCAGGACGCCCCCGGAGCACCCACAGCCTCCCTGTGTTTCAGCACCCCCCCTGCAGCTGACTGAGGACCAGGAGTGAGCCAGCGAGGGCGCGGGACACCTCAGCCGCAGCCGCCGCCCCCTCCCCGCGACTCGGACGCTACTGCCTGCCCCCCACTCCCGCCCGGCCCCTGGCCCCTGCCCTGCTGCCCCCGGACAGCCTGGCTCCCCTACTAACCCCCTCCTCCGCCCTGGCCCCCCCGCCTGCCCGCTTTTATTTATTTTGGATTCGCCGGGCGCCCCCCCCCCCCTCGGCGGCGCCCCAGGACCCAGCAGAGGCTTCTGTCTGCGCAGCTGGAGGGCGAGGGCCTGGGGCCGCCACCCCCGGGTTTCTATTCTCATGCTCCCTCCTTTGCTCTGCCCCCCCCCTTTTTTTTTTTTAAAGAAACTGTTTTTTAAACTATTTCTAGGTTTGTGAATGTGAAGCCCCAGGCCGCAGGGGGCCACGGGCCAGGCGCCCCCACCAGCTGAGAACAAAATGCCTGTGTGGTGGGCCGCTGGCCACCTCCCCGGCCGGAGAGGACTAGGCCAGGCCGAGCCCCTGGACCCCTGTCCTGTATCATATGTAAATACTGTGGGTGCAGCCCCTGCCCACCCAGCAGAGGCCCCTCCTGTCTCTGTCCCCTCCTAGACACCGTTACTGTAAGCTTGCAGGCCTCCTCTGGCCGAGGCAGGCCCGTTCTCTCAGGCCCTAGGGGTCAAGGCCTTGGGCCTGCTCACCCCGAAAACCCAGTGTGGGGGCGCGGGAAGGGAAGGGCTCGCCCGGAGTCACTGCTGGAAAGAAGTTAGCTCTCCAAAGGCCTCCCCTGCCCCTGCTCGGTCGGGCCTCATGGTTTCTGCTCTGAGCCCCGAGCGGGCATCAGGGGCACTGGGAAGGGGCGGACCAGGGGAAAGCCGCGGGCCTCTCAGGAACCCCACATTCTCACTGAAGTGTCTCACCAGGATGGCCCTCACCCCGAGCCCCCTCCGGAGGCAAGAGGCCCAGGGCCTGACTTGGGGAACAGGCTGGGTGGCCGAGCCCAGGCCCCCTCGCCCCTCTGTCCGTCCCCCAGGCCTGAGGCTGGGACCTGCGCCCCCTCCTCCTCAGTCCCCACCTTAGACCCCTTTGGAGAGTTAATGTCTGTGTGAGGTGCTTAACCTATTAGCCCCGAGAACACAAAGCAATAATCTTTGTTACTGAGATGCGCGGCTGTTCGTGGTTTTTTTTTTTTTAAATGTTTCCTAATAAAAGAGAAGCTGCAATTTATTGTTTTTTATTTTTAATTTTCTACACATTCGAGCTGAGTCATGAGAGACTTCGCTCTCCCCCCCTCCCTTCCTGGGACGCCCCAGCCCCACCCCTCTCGGCCCATCCATGGGCCCAGGGCCCTGGAACTCCGTTTTCTGATTTGTTTGGGGAATTTTTTTTAAAAGATGTTACATGGTGTTTTGAAGCCAGCAAGTTACCACCCTCCGGTGTCTCTTCTCTCCACATCGGTAACCTCTTTTTCCAGGATTTATTTCCAGTTTTAAATTCCTAATAAATTATTTGAAAACGGTGCTGGGCTTGGGAGCGTTTTGTGTGTCTGTGTGCAGTCAGGTCTGGTTTGCCGAAGACACCGTTTTCACCTTCTCCGGTTTCCTCCCGGAGCAATACGTGGTTCACTCCTACGGAAGCGGGCCCTGGCCGGGTGGCCCAACCGGCTGGAGCATCGTCCCAGACACCGAAAGGTTCCTACGGAAACGGGCCCTGGCCGGGTGGCCCAACCGGCTGGAGCATCGTCCCAGACACCGAAAGGTTCCTACGGAAACGGGCCCTGGCCGGGTGGCTCAACCGGCTGGAGCATCGTCCCAGACACCGAAAGGTTCCTACGGAAGCGGGCCCTGGCCGGGTGGCTCAACCGGCTGGAGCATCGTCCCAGACACCGAAAGGTTCCTACGGAAACGGGCCCTGGCCGGGTGGCCCAACCGGCTGGAGCATCGTCCCAGACACCGAAAGGTTCCTACGGAAACGGGCCCTGGCCGGGTGGCCCAACCGGCTGGAGCATCGTCCCAGACACCGAAAGGTTCCTACGGAAACGGGCCCTGGCCGGGTGGCCCAACCGGCTGGAGCATCGTCCCAGACACCGAAAGGTTCCTACGGAAACGGGCCCTGGCCGGGTGGCTCAACCGGCTGGAGCATCGTCCCAGACACCGAAAGGTTTCAAGTTCGATCCCCAGCCAGGTCCCACATCCAGGCTGCTGGTGATCCCGGGAAGCAACCAACCTACCAATGTTTCTCTCACATGGATGTTCCTCTCCCTTCATCTCTCTCTAAAAAGCAGTAAAAACATATCTTCAAGCCCGGCCAGAGTGATGCAGTGGTTGAGGGTCAACCTATGAACCAGGAGGTCATGGCTCGATTCCCAGTGTGGGGCGTGCAGGAGGCAGCCAATTGATTATTGATTCTCTCATCATTGATGTTTCTATCTCTTCCTCTCCTTTCCTCTCTGAACTCATTATATATGTGTATATATATATATATATATATATCAGGTGAGGATTTTTAAAAAAAAAAACAAAAAACGTCGCTTATTTGGATATGATTTGGAAAAACTATCAAAAAGATATTTTGAGACAAAACCCTCTAAAAATGGTCTTATTTTTGTTAGGTGTGACCATGACATTGTAATTATATTTTTTACAAATTTCTCCTTGAAGGCTTTTTCTCTCAGATCAGAGGCAAAGTAGGGATGCCTAGTCTGGCCATATATATATGAATCTGAAGTCAATATATATATTGATCTTGAGAGAGAGAGATAGAAACATCAATGATGAGAGAGAATCATTGATCCGCTGCATCCTGCACACCCCACACTGGGGATCAAACCCACAACCATGTGCCCTGACCAGGAATTGAACCATGACCTGGTTCATAGGTCGAAGCTCAACCACTGAGCTACACCAGCTGGGCCTGGCCACTTCTATTCAACATAGTATTGGAAGTCCTACCCAGAGCAATTAGGCAAGAAAAAGGAATGACACCATCCATATTGGAAAGGAAGAAGTAAAATTATCTGTTTGCAGATAACATGATCTTATATGTAAAAACAAAAACAAAACTCCAAAGATTACACACACAAACACAACTAATAAAAGAATTCATCAAAGTTGTTGGATACAAATATCAATTGTGTTTCTACACATTAACAATGAACAATCAGAAAAGTAAATTTAAAAACAATGAACTTAAGCAAGGAGGTGAAAGACTTGTACAGTGAAAACTACAAAATAATGCTGGAAGAAATTAAGACACAAATAAGTGGAAAGACATCCTATGTTCATGGATTGGAAGACTTAATACTGTTAAGATGTCCATACTACCCAAGCGACCTGCAGATTCATCACAATACCTATCAAACCCCAATGGCATTTTTAACAGAAATATAAAAATTTATCCTAAAATTCATACAGAATCTCAAGAGACCCCAAACAGTCCAATCAATTTTGAAAAAGTTGGTGGTTCACACTTTCTGATTTCAAAATATGTTACAGCCCGAGCCAGTTTTGCTCAGTGGATAGAGCGTCAGCCTGCGGACTAAAAGGTCCCAGGTTCAATTCTGGTCAAGGGCACATGCCCGGGTTGTGGGCTCGATCCCCAATTTGGGGCGCCTGCAGGAGGCAGCCAGTCAATGAGTCTCTCTCATCATTGATGTTTCTAACTCTTTCTCTCTCCCTTCCTCTCTGAAATCAATAAAAAATAAAAATATGTTACAAAAGCTATAGTAATCAAAACAAGGAGGTACTGGCACAGAGACATAGAGACAGATGAGCCACGGGGATAGAAGAGAGAACCCAGAAATAAACCCTCACTGATATGGGCAAACGATCTTTGCCAAGGGTGCCAAGGGCACCGGTGTGGAAAGGAAAGTCTCCAACAAAAATAGTATTAGGAAAACCTGATATCTTCATGCAAAAGAATGAAGCTGGACCCTTATCTGACACCATCTACAAAAATTAGCCCAACTTGAATTTAAGACCTAGATTTAAGATCTGAAACTACAAAACTCCTGGAGAAAACATAGGGAAAGCTTCATGGTGCTGGAGTTGGCGATAATTTCTTGGAACCGACATAAAAAAAAAGTACAGGCAACAGCTGGCCGGCGTGGCTCAGTGATTGAGCGACGACCTAGGGACCAGGAGGTCATGGTTTGATTCCTGGTCAGTGCACATGACTGTGTTGTGGGCTCAATCTCCAGTAGGGCTTGCAGGAGGCAGCTGATCCATGATTCTCTCTCATCATTGATGTTTCTATCTCTTGCTCCCTATCCCTTCCTCGCGGAAATCAATAATATATATACATATATATATATGTGTATATATATATGTTTGTTTATTTATTTATTTTTTTAAAGAACAGGCAGCAAAATAGACATATTGGGACTACTTCAAACGTGAAAGCTTTTGTGCATCCAAGGACACAACAAAGTGAAAGGCAGTCTGAGGAATGGGAGAAAATATTTGCAAATCATCTGTCCGCAGAGAGGTTAATCTCCAGCATATCTTTCTGGGGATGGACAAGAGAGGTAGCGAATGGATGCCGCTAGAAAAGTTAGGGAACTCATAAAATCCAGGTGCTGAGGATGGTGACTTTGGGTGTGGAAAGGGTGTAGGTGCTTTGGTTTACTGCCTCCGTCTGCTCCTCTGTGATAGCAGTGACAGCAGGCCACCTGTGTAAAGCTCTCAGTACTCAGAGGATGTGCTGCTGCTCTTGTTGCCATTATTATCATTATTATTATTATTATTGACAATATTATTAAAGAGAGCCCTGGACACAGAGGCAGGCACCCACAGGTTCAATTCCTATCTCCACTCCTCGGAAGGTGCAACTTTAAGCAAGTTACTTAAGCTCTTTGGACCTGTTTTATCATCTGTAACTAGGGGAAGATGATGAAACAGTAATGGCTGTGCCAGAAGGTTAGGGCTGAAAAACAGTGTACAGAGAGCCCGTAGCACAGTGCCAGGCACACAGAAGCACTCACCAAACGGTAGCTGCTTTTAGGCATTTCCTGGAAGCAGGACCGTGTCTTCCAGGGGCCGGGCCGGTGTGACCTTGCTGGGTGTGGGTGTGCGTCACCTGAAGGAGCCGAGAAGCTATCCTTAGCTGTTTTTTCCACTGGAGCGTGTGATTTCCCAGCTGGGAGCAGCCGGGCAGTACACACCTGTGCATGAACCTGGGCAGCAGAAGGTCAGGGCACAGAGTGCAGGGGCCTGAACCACGCTCTCCACCTCCGTGTCCCCTGCAGAGGTTTGCATTGTCAAGTTAGCAGGTCTCTTTCCAGGAACAGAATGTTTGATTGCACGTGGGAATTTGCGCAGACTGCCTTTGTGGAAAGCCTCCAGCTGGCTGGGGGAGGGGGCGAGGAGGAGGGAAGTGGCAGGGCTAACCCTCCTCTGGCCTCCAGGGGCTTTCCGCACTCCCACCCACGACTACAGGTCCCTGTCATGAGATGATATTGCGGTGTAAGCACCAGACCCAACTCACCGCTTGGTCCTGCTGTGTGACATGGGAGCAGCTCCTTAACCTCTCTGAGCCTATCATTGTTTTCTCTGTAAAATGGAGTTTGTAATTGGACCCACCTCAGAGGGCTGTGCCAGGTTCTTAGCCTGGGACCTGGACTAGAGTTAGCGCTCGGTTAAATGGTAGTTAATCCGATTAGCCTAGAGCAGCGGTTCTCAACCTGTGGGTCGCGACCCCTTTGGGGGTCAAACGACCCTTTCACAGAGGTCACCTAAGACCATCGGAAAACACATATATAATTACATATTGTCTTTGTGATTAATCACTATGCTTTAATTATGTTCAATTTGTAACAATGAAATTGGGGGTCACCACAACATGAGGAACTGTATTAAGGGGTGGCGGCATTAGGAAGGTTGAGAACCACTGGCCTAGAGGGTTTGGTAGCACCAGCTAAGCCTCCTTTCTCAGACACCCCCACCGGAGCAGTCCCTCGTCCTCTTCCATTCTGACCCCAAAGAACCCACATGGGGGACTCAGCATTCTGCGGGCCACGCCTTCCCTTTCCTTGGGCAGCCCTCACTCATTCTGGAGGCTGCAGAGACAGCCATTCAACAGCTGACCCTACTCTCCCTCTCACAGCTCCCCACCACCACCACTGCGACATCCTGCCCAGCTGTCCCCTCGAACCTTCTGTGATGATAATATTCTGTCTGCGCCGCCCACTGTGACAGCCACTAGCCACATGCATGTAGCTGCCGAATACCCGAAATGCGGCTCGTGTAACTGAGAAGCTGATGTTTAATAGATTTTGATTGTAATGAATTGGAATAGCCCCTTGTGGCTGGCTGGTGGCTACCATATCGGACAGATGTAGAAACGGATAAGGGACAGGCGGCAGGGAAAACCCGAGGCCAAGGGGCAGAATCAGGCCTAAGCAAATCGAGCACTCCCCGCTCCGGCCTCAGTTTCCCCGTCCGCCTGCTCAGTGCTGTGCGGTGCCCGCTCAGCTGAAGGGCCTTTCCTGGGACTTGAGATCACACAGGTGGATGCCTTGCTCCTGCCGCCTGTGCGAGGGCAGGCGCACGGATCCCGGGGGTGAGCAGGGCCGGGGCAGGCGAGGCCCACGGACCGTGCGCCGCACACACAGGACCTCGCCTGCGCAGATGGAGGGCGCTGGCCCGGGAAGGGCGGGCTGGGTCCCGTCGGGCAGGGCCGTTTCCGGCTCTCCCGCGGCCCAGTCTCCGTGTCCCCCTCTGGAAAGTGGCCAAGGTGCGTCCGGGATCAGAGGGGATGCGACAGAGGATGGAGGTGATGAAAAGGGCACTTGTCCGCTGTGATCTTCCCCCCTCGACCCCCGCCAACCACCAGCCCCCAGCCCCCAGCCCCCAGCCGAATCACCAGTCCGCAGACTGTCAAGGTCAGCAAGGACAAGGGGGTCTGAGAAACTGCCTCCAGCCACGCGGGGCCTAAGGAGACAGGACAACTGACGATGATGTGCGCTCTGGGAGTGGATTCTGGAACAGAAAGAGAACATTTGGGCCTTAACCGGTGTGGCTCAGTGGATAGAGCGTCGGCCTGCGGACTGAAAGGTCCCAGGTTCCATTGCCGTCAAGGGCATGTACCTGGGTTGCGGGCACATCCCCAGTAGGGGGAGTGCAGGAGGCAGCTGATCGATGTTTGTAACCCCCCCTTCCTCTCTGTAAAAAAATCAATAAAACATATTAAAAAGAAAAGAAAAAGAACGTTTAATAAAAACTAAGGAACTGCAAGTGAGCTGTGAGTTTGAGTTTATAAATACCACATTGAATAGTAATAACATCAATATTGGTTCATTAATCATAACAAATGTATACTGAGATAAAAATGCTCATGAAATGTAAATAAAATTAAAACACAGGGTTTGTGCCAGAGATCACATGGGAACTCAATGGGAAAACACAATTACACAATATGATACGGAGATGGTGTGAAATATCCAGAAAAGGTAGCTAGAGAGACAGCAAGCAGATGTGGCTGCCTGGGGTGGAGGGAGAGGGAGTGCTTATGGGAACAGAGCTCTGCTGGGGAGGGTGAAAATGCCTGGGAACTAGGTCGAGGTGATGGTGGTCCCATCCTCTGTGTGCATGTACTGAATGCCACTGAATCATTCACTTTAAAAATAAAATGGTTGCCCTGACCGGTTTGGCTCAATGGATAGAGCGTCGGCCTGCGGATTCAAGGGTCCCAGGTTCGATTCCGGTCAAGGGCATGTACCTTGGTTGTGGGCACATACCCAGTAGGGAGTGTGCAGGAGGCAGCTGATCGATGTTTCTCTCTCATCGATGTTTCTAACTCTCTATCCCTCTCCCTTCCTCTCTGTAAGAAATCAATAAAATATATTTAAAAATAAATAAATAAAATAAAATGGTTAACTTATGCTATGTGAAATTCACCCCCAAAATGTTATGTTAGACATTTTTAAATATTTTTTTTTATTGATTTCAGAGAGGAAGGGAGAGAGAGAGAAACATCAATGATGAGAGAGAGTCATTGATCGGCTGCCTCTTGCACGCCCCACACTGGGGGCTGAGCCTGTAACCCGGGCATATGGCCCAACCTGGAATCAAACCCTGTCCTCTTGATTCATAGGTCAATGCTCACCCACTGAGCCACACCGGCCAGCTGGGCTGTGTAGACATTTGATACGATAGTTCTGAAAACTTTTTTATTCTGTAAGTCTTTTGGGGGTTTTCTTACAAACCCACAGTGGAGAATGGGGAGGGAGCTGGTATCGGTGTAGTGGGGAAAAGAAAATAAGACGTGTGCCTTAGAATCAGACATACCTAAGTTTGAGTCCCTACCCTGCCATTTGCTGGCTGGGTGGCCTGGAGCAAGTTACTTTACCTCTCTGAGTCGGCTTCCTCGCCTGCCAAGTGCATGACTGACGGCACCATTCAACAGGACCCACAACTCAGACCCAGGCACACGAGAAGACATGGAGGCAACGGTCATTTCCTCCCTGTCCCCCTTCTCCAGGTTGATGGCATTGATGGCTTTGCCACCACCACCACCACCACCCCCAGTGATGAAGCTGGGCTGAGTGCCAAGGGGTGGGTAAGAGGGTCAAGATTCCAAGACATGTGATTCCAGAAATAACCCCTTTCCTTAAAAAGTGCTGATGACGAATACATACACCTCTTACTGGCAGGGCTTACGTGCATGCGGTCACCCAAAGCAGACAGACTCAAGGACAGCCCGAAGTCAGCAGGGAGCAAAGCAAACACTACAGCCTTATCTTGGGGCCTCGGGGTGACTATAAGAAGGGAGGCCTCCGATGGAGTCAGTCCTTTCTCGCTCATCAGTTTCCCGACAGGATGAAACTCCTTGTGCTGGCTGCTCTGCTCACAGGTAGGCACGTCTTTCCAGCTCCACCCACTTCTAGGGCTACGATCTCACTCTTGGAACGGGGGTCACAGGTCACAGGGCTGGCCAGACCTGGAACCTTTTATTATTTTTATTTTATTTTATTAATTAAAAATATTTTTATTGATTTCAGAGAGGAAGAGAGAGAGAGAAACATCAATGATGAGAGAGAATCATTGATCAGCTGCCTCTTGCACACCCCTCAATGGGGATTGAGCCCACAGCCTGCACATGTGCCCTGATTGGGAATCGAACTGTGACCTTCTGGTTCTTAAGTCGATACTCAACCACTGAGCCACACCGGCTGGGCCAGACTTGGAGTCTTTATTCAGAGCTCCCTGAGGGGCTTAAGATCTCCCATATTTGGATTCCCTCAAATCCCCCCTCAAGCTGGCACCCTTCAACCTTCAGGTGTGAACTCAGATAACCCCTCTCAAAAAGGCCCACCCTGTGCATCCAGGCGAACAAAGACCCCTCTTCTTTCTTCCTACCATGTTGCCTTGGTACAAGGTCCCATCTTCCCAGCACCTATCTTTGCTTGCGATTTGTATCTTGTTGGGTTTGTGTGTGTGTTTTTTTTACCCATCTGCATGGGCTCTATGAGAGCAGAGATAGTTCTGTTTGCACCGTTATTGAATGAATAAATGGAATCCGACACATTCCCAGCTCATTCATCCATCTTTCATTCATTCATTCAGCATTGATGGTATCAGAGCCACCAAGGTATCAGGCTCTGGGTTGAGACTGAAGAGTGAGATGAATGAGCCACGCTCCCTGTCGGAGGAACACACACGTAGGAGTGTTTGCAGAGGCGGACTGGCCTCTGCAAAGACAGAGCTGGTGGGATCAGAGAGAGAGAGAACAGGGAAGCAGGAGTAGGGTCTGGAGGTGGGTCATCCCAGCCAGGCTACTCTGGTCTGAGCAGGCTCCAGGCTCCTGCTCCAGGACACAGCCTCTGCCGGCTGGGCTGCCGCATGGAGGCTGCTGTAGGGGAGGGTGACCAGCTGCTGCCCCTCCTCTGCCCTGGGGTCTAAGCACATGAGTGGGCCCAGTGTCACAGACCAAGGAAAGAGAGGGTAAGGCAGGGGGCAAAGAGACAGCAGTAGTGACTGATTGAAACAGGACCCCAAAATCATTTCATGCCGTCTTCTCTTTAGGGCACCAAATCTTAGAGGGTCAGGCTCTGCAAATGGGGTGAAGGGATCCTGCTTCCCTAGGGGGCCAAGTTTTGTGCTTAGTTTAGACCATTGGTCGGCAAACTCATTAGTCAACAGAGCCCAATATCAACAGTACAACGACTGGAATTTCTTTTGAGAGCCACATTTTTTAAATTTAAACTACATAGGTAGGTACATTGTTATTAACTTAATTAGGGTCCTCCTAAGGCTTAGGAAGAGCCACACTCAAGGGGCCAAAGAGCCGCATGTGGCTCGCGAGCCGCAGTTTGCCGACCATGGGTTTAGACAGACACTCAGCCAGAGGTAGACTTTTTTAACTTCTTCAATCGATATTTACTGAGCACCTACTATGAGCCAAGAACTTTAACACTCAGCCAGAGGTAGACTTTTTTAACTTCTTCAATCGATATTTACTGAGCACCTACTATGAGCCAAGAACTTTAATTCATGTACTGATGCTTTCATTCATTTAACTCATCATATATTTATTGTCTACTGTGTGTCAGGCCCAATGTGAGGTCCTGGGGAATAAAAGCCCTGAGGCCTGTCCTCGAGGGTATAGTCCTCGGAGAGGGAGGCATTAAATAGATGGAGTACAGATTGTGGGAGGTACTATGAACAAAGAGCATGAAGAGAAGTGATAGCAGGGGAGCCACTTAGCTCAGGTGGCCAGGACGGGTCTTTTGAGGAGGTGGCTTTTAAACCAAGATCTTCCAGCCTTTTTAAAGTGAGATGACAAGTGTGCCAGGCAGAGGGAGCAGCGGGTGTGTGGGCCTGGAGGCAGAACGAGAGGCTGAACTGCTGAGGATGGGAGGCCACAAAGGCCTCCTCACTATTCTTTGCACTCCCGCCCCACCTCAGCCCCACAATCCCCCACTTAACCCCCTATTTTAGATTCTTCTTACCCTGTTCCAACTTTTTCACCCTCTAGCACATTATCTGATCTCCTTTTTTAAAAAAAAAAAAATATTTTTTTTTATTGATTTCATAGAGGAAGGGAGAGAGAGATAGAAACATCAATGATGAGAGAGAATCATTGATCTGATAGGCTGCCTCCTGCATGCCCCCTACTGGAGGATCGAGCCTCAACCCAGGCATGTACCTTTGACGGGAATCAACCCCAGAACCCTCCGGTCTACAGGCCAACGCTCTGTCCACTGCGCCACACCGGCTGGGGCCCGATCTCCTTTTTTATTACGTTTATTGCTTATTGGCTTTCTCCCCCACTAGGATCTAAGCTCAGTGAGGTATAGACCTTTAACTTGTTCCCTGATGTATCTCGAGGCTAGGTGCTCAATAAACATTTGCAGAATAAATAATGGAGATGGTTTAACACCATCCTCATTGAAAACATATGTTCACAAAAACTAGTACACAGATGTAATGGCAGCACTACTGAGAATAGTGCAAAGGCGGGAACAGCCCAAATGTCCACCAAATGATGAATATATAAAATTGGCCTATCTGTGCAGTGGGATATCAGTCAGCTATGAAAAGGACAGAAGTGCTAATATACATGTTGTAACATAAATGGACCTCAGAAACGTGATGCTAAGTGGAAGAAGCCAGTCACAGAGGTCACATGTGGTATGATTCCATTTATATGAAGGGTTCAGAGCAGGCAAATCCATAGGGCAGAAAGCGGAGTAGGGGTGCCAGCAGGGAGGGGGAGCTTTTGCTGATTGGTACAGGGAGTTCTTTGGGGGGTGATAAAAATGCCTGGCATTAGTGTGATATTTGCACAACTGTGAATTGTACACTTAAAATGGCTAAAATAGTGAATTTTATGTCATATAAATATTGTTTAACTTAAACTGATTTGACTTGAGGGAAAGAGAGAGAGAGAGAGACATCGATATGTTGTGCCACTTATTTATGCATCCTTGGTTGATTCTTGGATGTGCCCTGACCGGAGATCAAACCCACAACCTTGGCTATGGGACGGCACTCCAACCAACTGGGCTACCCGGCCAGGGCCTGTTATGTGAATCTGATCTCAATTTACAAATATGTATGTTTTTTAAAAGTTTTCATTAAAAAGCCCGTAGTCACTTTGCCAGGTTTCTGCGTCCAGCTGTGTCCGAGGAGGCAGCTGCCGGCGGTCAGAGGGGGCAGCGGGGGCCTGAGAGCGCAGGCGGGCGGGCCCTGAGCCCCAGGAGCTGCGGGGCCCACGGGACGAGCTTGAACCGGGCCGTGTCTTGCAGTGTGTGCCGCCGAGGGCGGCGTCAGCCCGCGGGCCGTGTGGCAGTTCCGCAACATGATCAAGTGCACGATGCCTGAGAGCGACCCCTTGAGAGATTACAACAACTACGGCTGCTACTGCGGCCTGGGCGGATCCGGCACCCCCGTGGATGAGCTGGACAAGTGAGTGGTTGATCTGCCCGGGGCTGGGGGGCCGGTGAGGGCGCGCGGGGCACGACCCAAGGACCCCCACGAGGAAGCACAGGCAGGGGACTGCAGACTTGCTAAGGAAACACATGTTCACCTGCTGTCATGTCAGCAAATGGTCAGGGGGCTCTACATGCAGCGCCCGGTGTTGGGGGTGGGACGCGGACTGCGGGGGCGTGAGGTAGTGGGTGCGGCTGCCCTCTAGTGGCGGGACATTGCCACACACGCCGTCACAGCCACGACTCGATGGGCATCTTCAGAACATACGATCCGACCGTATTCCTGCAACCACCTTTTATTTATTTTTTTTTTTAAATATATTTTATTGATTTTTTACAGAGAGGAAAGGAGAGAGATACAGAGTTAGAAACATCGATGAGAGAGAAACATCGACCAGCTGCCTCCTGCACATCTCCTACTGGGGATGTGCCCGCAACCCCAGGTACATGCCCTTGACCGGAATCGAACCTGGGACCCTTCAGTCCGCAGGCCGACGCTCTATCCACTGAGCCAAACCGGTTTCGGCCCTGCAACCACCTTTTAAATCACCTTCAATACACATGAGAAAGGCCTTATACTTCTTCAAGCCACAAAACCAAAATCCCCCGGCGCCTGTCGGCTAAAACACCCCCACCTGCTCCTGAGAGAGCAGACGCGGGCGGACCGGCTGCCCCGCACCTGCTCCTGCCTCAGCCCTTCCCCCCTCCTGCACTCCCAGGTGCTGCCAGACACACGACCGCTGCTACGACCAAGCCAAGAAGCTGGACACCTGCAAATTCCTCCTGGACAACCCCTACACCAAAAGCTACTCGTACAAGTGCTCGGGCTCGGAGATCGTCTGCAGCAGTACGTTCACCCCTCGTTGGCTTTAGGCCCTCCGCGGGCAGCAGGGACCGTAATCGTGGCAATAGCTACCATTTACTGGTCAATGGCTCGGTGCCAGGAACTGTACCATTGCGATCCCCATTTTACAGATGAGGAAACTAAGGCTCGTAAAGAGTGGTGTTTGGTTGTTGAACTCAGGTCTGCATGACTCAAAAGCCTCTGCTCTCAACTGCCATGTGATACTGTTTTATTATTTCATAAAAGAGCCCAGAACTAGCATTTATTCGGTTCTCATTACCCGCCAGGGACTAGGTGAGGCGTGTGTGTGTGAGTGTGAGGGTAGGTTTTATTAGCCCCGTTTTCCAGGTCAGGAAGCTGAAGCTCAAACACAGTCACTTGTCCAGAAATCGCACAGCTTGTCCGCGGCAGCTAACATTCGCTCCCCGCTGCTTTCTTTCCTCAAAGTCTCTGGTTTTGAGGAAAGAAATCGAACTATGACCTCGGGATGAAATGTGTCCCTCCATGAGGGCAGATCTGAAGGGCAGACAGATGAAAGGTGCTCTTGCTACTGTACAAACAACAGCAAAATAACCATAATCCCAGCCCAAAAGTGCCACGAAAAACGTTCTCCAGAACCCACCACCGTCAGGGGTGAAGCGTCATGCCTCCAGCTCATCTCTCTGAATTGTGGGACCACACCCACAACCGTGGCATTGGGCACAACACGATAACCAACTGAACTGGCTTCCGCTTCCTATTGCAGAGATAGACAGTAAAGAAAAACTTAAACACACTAGATGTTGATAAGTATTGTAGAGGAGATAAAGCAGAGAGAGGAAACAGAGAACGGTGGAGAGACGGAGGGGGTGTGTATGATTTAAAAGAACGCGGTGAGGGAGACCTCACTGAATGACATCTGCAGAATGGCCTGGAGTGAGGGCGTGACCCACTGGTGGGAAGTGTTTCAGAGGACTTGGGATAAGGGTGAGGGGTCTAAGCCTACCCACAATTCATTTGTGGTTTTTAAAGGAAAGGAGCAGAAAGAAACAAAACTTTAATAAAATGATTGAAGGTAAGGTAAGCAGAGATACACAGTTAATTTATGGATAGTAAAGTTCAAATGCATTTTAAATGTTATCTGCGCTGTTTCTTTTGGTTATAAAAGTGAACAAGGCCAAAGTAATATAATTTCAGAAGTATATGTCCTGGAAAGTGGAAGGCACCTATAATCCTACTACCCATAGATAACCAGTTTTATAATTTTTAGGCTTTACTAGTTATTTTTTCCTTTAATAAAATATATTAGGCCCAGCCAGCGTGGCTCAGTGGTTGAGCCAGGAGGTCACAGTTCGATTCCTAGTCAGGGCACATGCCCGGGTTGTAGGCTCAATCCCGAGTGTGGGGTGAGCAGGAGGCAACCGGTCAATGATTCTCTCTCATCATTGATGTTTCTATCTCTCTCTTTCCCTCTCCCTTCCTCTCTGAAATATATTTAAAATAAAATAAGATATATTGGAAATATTTCCACATATAGACATAATTATTTTAAATGTCTGTATAATATTCTATTATTTTTTAAATATGAGCTTTAAAGGAGAGAAACTGGCTTTCTAAACTTCACTAAGTTAAAATTTAAAATACTTTGCTGCCTTAAGTGTATGCTTCAGTGTTCTCCATATGGTTTATAACGGCTTGCCTATGTTGTCAGGGCAAAATAGACAAGACTTTCCCAAAGGCAGCGCTCACACCTAGGATCACCAGATAAACGCCGGTTGCCCAGTTAAATTTGACTCTGACATAGACAACAAACAATTTTTTAGTCTACGTCCCAAACCTTGCATTCATTGTTTATCTGAAACTCTGGCGTTTTCATTGCTTAATCTGTCAGCCCTAAATGTGCACCAGTGCAATGACCGCTGAGTTATCCGGTTATTTTTTCCTGCCCCTGGGTGGTGGACAGCAGGGTCCACCTGGGCTCAGGCCTCTCCTCTTCCTCTTTTCCAGGCAAAAACAAGCCCTGCCAGGCCTTCATCTGCGAGTGCGACCGCAATGCTGCCATCTGCTTTTCCAAGGCCCCTTACAACAAGGAGCACAAGAACCTGAACACCAAGAAGTTCTGCCAGGACTGAGCGCCGCCCGCCTCCGTACCGCCTTGTCCCTGTGGCTGTCGCCTTCCACGGCGCCCGCCCTCCAGTAAAGCACTTTGTTGAAAGGCCTCGCGTTTGGAGATTGTTTTATTCTCTATCTGCTGGGCACGGCTGGGCCTCTGGCTAGTCCTCCCTGAGGTCATTCTTCCGGCCCTGGAAGTTGAATCCCTCGGATATTTCCAGGAAGTGAGCACCATGACACCTGAGTCATGACGGCACCCCTGATGGTTACTCTGGGTTGATGCAGGGGAGGGTGATGGAGGGGCGTCCCAAGCCCCACGTGTGTCTCACCTTCCCTGGGACGCCCTGGGAGGCGCTGGCACTGTTAGTTAAGGCTCCTTCCCTCAGCTGCTCTCAGGAGGAGAGGCCGCTAGCCCAGAGCTCTGCAGAGTAAGGAGCAAAGATGGGGCGTGAACCCAGTGAGTCCAGGAGAACACACACGCTTCACCGCCCCGGCCCGCCTGGAGCAGGGAGCTCTTGTTTCAGTCCCAGCCCGGTCTCTCCTTCTCTCATTTCTCTGCCTCCATTTCCAACCACGTAAAACCATTTTTCCTACAACTTCTTTCCTTTCTAAGCCTGACAAAGACTTTACCACCCGCTACAAGCTGATTTTTACACTGTGGTCATCAAACATACTAAACAGCCCTGGCTGGTCTGGCTCAGCGGATAGAGCGTCGGACTGCGGACTGAAGGGTCCCGGGTTCCATTCTGGTCAAGGGCGCATGCCCGGGTTGCAGGCTCGATCCCCAGTAGCGGGCCTGCGGGAGGCAGCCGGTCGATGATTCCCTCTCATCATTGATGTTACTGTCTCTCGCTCCCTATCCTTTCCTCTCTGAAATAAAAAAAATATACTTTTTTTTAATTAAATCTTTATTGTTCAGATTATTACATTTGTTCCTCTTTTTTCCCCCCCATAACTCCCCTCCTCCCAGTTCCCGCCCCACCCTCCGCCCTCACTCCCCACCCACTGTCCTCATCCATAGGTGCACGATTTTTGTCCAGTCTCTTCCCGCATTTCCCACACCCCTTTCCACCCCAAGAATAGTCAGTCCATTCCCTTTCTATGTCCCTGATTCTATTATAATCACCAGTTCATTCTGTTCATCAGATTATTTATTCACTTGATTCTTAGATTCACTTGTTGATAGATGCATATTTGTTGTTCATAATTTGTATCTTTACCTTTTTCTACCTCTTCCTCTTCTTAAAGGATACCTTTCAGCATTTCATATAATCCTGGTTTGTTGGTGATGAACTCCTTTAGCTTTTCCTTATCTGTGAAGCTCTTTATCTGACCTTCAGTTCTGAATGATAGCTTTGCTGGATAAAGTAATCTTGGTTGTAGGTTCTTGGTATTCATCACTTTGAATATTTCTTGCCACTCCCTTCTGGCCTGCAAAGTTTCTGTTGAGAAATCAGCTGGCAGTCGTATGGGTATTCCCTTGTAGGTAACTGAGTTTCTTTCTCTTGCTGTTTTTAAGATTCTCTCTTTGTCTTTTGCTCTTGGTATTTTAATTATGATGTGTCTTGGTGTGGTCCTCTTTGGATTCCTTTTGTTTGGGGTTCTCCGCGCTTCTTGGACCTGTAAGTCCATTTCTTTCACCAGGTGGGGGAAGTTTTCTGTCATTATTTCTTCAAATAGGTTTTCAATATCTTGCTCTCTCTCATCTTCTGGCACCCCTATAATTCTGATGTTGGTACGCTTGAAGCTGTCCCAGAGGCTCCTTACACTATCCTCTCATTTTTGGATTCTTTTTTCATTTTGCTTTTCCGGTTGGGTGTTTTTTGCTTCCTCGCATTTCAAATCATTGACTTGATTCTTGCGCTCCTCTGGTCTGCTGTCGGGAGTCTGTATAATATTCATTATTTCAGTCCGTGTATGCTTAATTTCTAGTTGGTTCCCCAATATAACATCAAGGGTCTCATTAGTTTTCTTGTAGATCTCATTAAGTTTATCGGCGGCTTCTAAACAGTTCTTGAGAGACCTTAAAAGTGTGGTTCTGAACTCTATATCTTCCATTGACAATTTTGTCCTGTTTCTTTGTCTCCGCATTTTGTTATGCTTCCTTGGTGCACCCCCTAGTGGTCTTTGTGCGCAGTCTTATAGTTAAACCTTGATTGTTGTAGCTAATACCAGGGAGGGTTTGACCTCCAGGCCAAGTGGCTGTGAGAATCAGCTGTGTCTGCAGTGAGAGAACTTCTGTCCTCTAGGGAGGTGCTAATCTAGCCTTTGCCTGAGGCTATCTGGCAAATGCCTCTGTGCAGGGCTTGGGCAGGGCGGGTCACACAGGATCAACAGGGTGGGCCGGAGAGAGCAGTTATGGCGGCTCTCAGTCCTGTCCCCAGGGGCTCTGCCTCTCTGAGTCCCAGCACCTGCTGCAAAGCTCGGAGAGAAAGCTGCACTCGCTCTGACGGAAGCCAGACAGTCCCGCTTCTCCCGTTTGAGTCTGGGTCCCTAAAGACTCGCCCGGATCTGGAGCTCAGAGTCTGCGACTCCCTCCCGATTGAAAACACAAACTGCGCCCTCCGCCGCCAGCCCGCTCCGCGCACTCCGCACCTCAGAATTTGACTTCAGCACTGCGCCTCCTCTGAGTGTCCGTATGCGTTTCTCTTTCCTCCTAGTTGTAGGACTTCCACTCAGCCAGCGTTCCTGTGGTTCTGGGTGATGTCCCTTCCGTTTTTTAGTTTCACTTTTGAAGTAGTTGTTCAAGGCAGCAAACTCTGGCGTTAACCTATGCCGCCATCTTGGTTCTCTCCCAACATCAAAAAAATATATACTTAAAGAAAACATAATAAACAATAACACCTTCTACTTCTAGGTCATTTACTGCATATCACTCTGTGCAAAAGGCTTTCCAGATCCCATCTCATTAAATACCCAAACCGGCTCTGTGAGGGCGATATTATTGCCCCCATTTTATGGATGAGAAGCTATAAACTCAGAGAAGTCACTCCCCTGTGATCACACAACTGGCATAGTCAGGATTTGACCACACCTGCCTGGTGGCAATGCCTGAGCTCTCAACCCCTCAGCCAACTTCCTCCACTAGGATTTATGACCACATTGGCATCGACATTCACCAGGTAGAGTGGGGAGGGGAAAGAAGGGAACCGAATTCGAAAAGCGAAAATGAGAAAGGGCGATGAAGACTATGGGAAGCCACCGCGGAGCAGTTCTAACCACCGGAGGCTGACAGAGCAGCAGCCACTGCTGGGCGTGCGGCCGGCAGCAAAGAGGTGTGTGTATTTGTCGTTTGAAGAAGGAGTATGTGTGGGTTTGTCTTTTGGCCCAATCTCTCCCTCATTTCATTCATCCATTCAATGGGGAAAACTGCAAGCCGCCCCCCCCCCCCCCCTTAGGATGGAAGAAAGGTAAGGTTATCAGGAGACTTCCTTAGTCCCACATTTTTTTTTTTACAATTATAAAACAAACAACAGAGAGAACAGAGTCACCTGAGCACTCAAGCTGGGCTCTAAAAATATCCTCTGACGTAGAAACCTTCATTTTTTCATTATCTCAAGGACAGGAGAGAGAGAGAGAGAGAGAGAGAGAGAGAGAGCGAGTGCTCATTACTGGAAACGGAATCTGGGGAACACTAGAACCGTGGCTGGGATGATTTAAACGAACAAATAAATGTACTGCACTGAGAGTAACTTGAAGTCGGGATTGCAGCACAGCGTCAGGTGGGAGTCACAGCGCTTAGCACAGCTCACCGGCTCATTCACTGGTTAATGAGGAGACGGTGTGGTGCAATGGTTTGCTGCGGTCCAGATGAAACCACGGCCGTAGTTACCTTGTCCACCCACGTGATCCTCCGCGCCCAACCCTGTCAACCCGCCAGCCACACCCCGGGGCTGGAGGGACTTCAATGGGATTGGACATTTTATGGGCACGTGGCTCTCGTTCCTCTTTTCTATTGGTGACCAGGTCCCGCTTCCGGCCTACCTGCGCACCTCCCAGGCTCAGGCCCCGCCCCTCTCGGTGTCGGACCCGCGCCGCGCAGGCGCAGTGGTTGGCTGTGTGCCCTCTAGGTGGCGTCCCAGGCAGGTGAGGCCCCAGCGGGACGGAGGGGCGGTGGAGTGTGAGAAGGAGTCTGGCCTCCCTGGGTCTCTCACCCGCTGCGTTCGCCCTCCTCCCCCGGTCCGCCAGCTTCCCGCTGTAACCCTCATTGCTTTCACCGGGGAAGGCGAGCGGGGCTGGAAAGTGGGGGGCGGGGAACCTAAGGGGGCGGGAGGGAAGAATGGCGGGGGGGGGGCGAGTGAATTTTGGGCGGAGCCAGGGGCCTCGGGGGCGTCCAAGTCCACACTTCAATGCCCACCCCCACCTTGAGGCGTTTGTTTTTTTAAAGGTGAAGGGATTTGCAGGTTTGACCTCCAGATGCTTTTGCATTTGTTCTCTCCGTTTGGGATGCTCCCCTTTCCCCCGCCTGGTGAATGCTTATTCAGAATGGACCTAGCTTGGGGACTTCTGGAAGTTTCTTGCGCCTTGTCCGTCCTCCCTCCCAGAGCCGGTTTCCGCCGCATTAAAGAGGGAGCGTGAGCTCGGAACTGGACTCCTGACGGGTCACCCAGGTGACATTTGGGCAAGTTACATAAGCTCAGGATCTTCGTCTTCCAAAAGAAATAATAGTGCGTCGGATCATAGATAGGGATGGCTGTAAAAACTGGGTGAGTCAATGCGTTGTAGAATGCGTCGTACAGTGTTTGTTGTGTAGTAAATGTTTAATCAATATGATTTTCCCAAAGGAATGGAGAAGGAAGCATATTCACTTTCTCTAGAAAGGCTTTATTACATCAAGACTTTTGTACTTGAACCCTAGCTGGTTTGTCAGCCTGCGGACTGAAGGGTTCTGGGTTTGATTCAGGTCAAGGGCACATGCCCTGGTTGCAGCTCAATCCCCAGTGTGGGGTGTGCAGGAAGCAGCCAATCAACGATTCTCTCTCATCATTGATGTTTCTATCTCTCCCTCTCCCTTCCTCTCTGAAATCAATAAAACCCTATGTAATAAAAGGCTAACATGCAAAGCGACCAAATGGGGGAATGACAGGTTGCTATGACATGCACTGACCACCAGGGGGCAGATGCTTAACACGGGAGCTGCCCCCTGGTGGTCAGTGCACTCAGCCAGATGCCGGGCTCACAGCTGGCAAGCACGGCTGCCATGGCAGGAGCCTCTCCCGACTCTGTGGCAGCACTATGGAGCGGCCAGTGGCAGCAGGCGCAGCGGGGTGGCACAGCGCCCAGCTCCAATTCGGGCTCTTCCCTGGCCGCCTGCCACTTGGTGCACTGCTACGTCCCCCGAGGGGTCCCGGTCTGCGAGAGGGCACAGGCCGGGCTGAGGGACACACACACACACACACACACACACACACACACACACAGTGCACGGATTTTGTGCACTGGGCCTCTAGAGAGAGAGTGTGTGTGTGTGTGTGTGTGTGTGTGTGTATTTATATTTATATTTAAAAATAATAACAAAACGTTTGTACTTTAAAAACAAACAGGTACACAAAAGGGAAATGTGGCTCTGGGGAAGATTCCTGTGAGTCTAGTTAAAGGGGTAAATAGGGCTCTAAGGTTTGGCAGGTATGACGGCTTTCCTTCCTACCCTCCTCCATATTCTAATGACAGTGGCTGACGTCTGTCTGCTGTGTGCCAGGCTCCGCTGTGAGCGTCACATGCATCATTGCCCTGCTTGGCTTCATAGCAGCCCAATGAGGGGCTCCTGGTCTCCCCACTTATAAGAAGACTGAAGGTAGATAAAGCAACTTGCCCAAGTTCACCTCACTAGTAAGTACATAGCAAGAGATAGATGGCAATCCAAGTCTGTCAATCCTGCGTCCTCCTTTCCTAATAAATTGAGAGGGAAAAAACTCTCCTTTCTTGGATGAGTTTAATTTTTCCTCATGAAGTAGAAATCTGTTTCGTGGGGGGAAATGAAATGGAAAAAGTCTGGGTTTTAGAGCACCAACTTGAATCTCGGCAAGGATAATGTCTGGAACTAACTAATCTCTGGGGGCAGCCTCTGCCAGTCCCAGCAGCAGGGTGACAGCTCACCCAGGTCGGAGCACTGAAAGTCCCGCATAAGGGGGCAGTCTGGGACAGCAGGTCACCTGACCTCGGGGTCTTGAATTTCTTATCAGTCTTTCCTTTGACCGTCTCAGGAAAAGCTGTGTTCACTGAAGACTGACTTTTGTTTACACCCCAGCATCTCCTGTGAAGTTAAAGCTTACTGAGCTCCTGTAAAATGCTTCACACGGGCTTGGGATGGAGTGTGCTCAGTAAGGCTGTTGTTTGAGGGAGAGGCGAGAGAGGATGTGCAATTTATGACAGCATAAAAGAAAAACAGTGGGAACTTTCCAGTGTTATGTTCCTCTTTGCCTTTGTGACTCCTACTTACTAAAGCCGTGATAGCAGAGCAGAAACGCGGAAGCAACTGAGGGAGAGCCTGGCCAAAAGTCCTGTCCACAGCTGGGCTTATGCAGTTAGAACCATGTAACCAGGGTGGTGACCAGCTGGAGAGTCACTAGAAGGTGTTTGTTATTCCGACCGAGGGCACTGAGAGTGGACGAGGAGCCGCCATGCTGGTGGGAAGCTAGAGATGGGAAGTGAGGAGACGGGAGAACCAGCAGCTTCAGGAAATGTCAGGTTCCTCTTGAGACAAAGGTTTTGGAAAGAATTCCATCTCGGGAGGAAATATGAACAAAAGGAGCATTCCTAAGGCCCTCGCTTGGTTTGGTGAAGCTGCCAACATTGGGGGTGAAAGAGCCTGCCTTCTCCCCCTGGCAGCCTCACCTACTCTCCACCCCCCACATGGAAGCCTTCCTGGCCTCCCTGGCCGGGTACACTGCTGGCTTCTGCTGCTACTTCAGGCCGACTTCTTTCTAACCATCATCTTCCCATGCGTCTTGTTGTGTAAAAGGAAAAGAGCCCGGAGGGCCCCAGCTGGTGCGGCTTACTTGGTTGGGCTTCATGCACCCAAAGGTTGCTGCCCATTCGATTCCGGGTCAGGGCGCATGCCCGGGTTGCGGGCTCGATCCCCAGTAGGGGGCGTGCAGGAGGCAGTCACTCTCACATTGATGTTTCTCTCTCTCCCCCTCTCCTTCTCTCTCTCTAGAAGTCAGAAAAGAAATAAAGAAAAAAGAATTGAGGAAAATCTACTTGGATCCTAGTCCTGGCTCTGAAACTACGTACTATGGCCTTAGGTAAGTCTGGATCTTAATTTCCTCAAAAAGGAATAGAGGGGTGGACTAAATTGCCTCGTTCTGTCATTCCACGCATGACTGTATCATTTCAGGTGTAGAGGAAGGGCGGGGGAGGTAGCAACCCTCTGTGAGCCAGTTGAGGGCAAGAGGTTGTACCTTTGTAGCCTCAGCACCTTAATATAGTGTCTGTCAGTAACATTATGAGATTTGTGGGTGACAATGGCTTGAGATTCAAAAGACCCAGATTGAATACAATTATTGGTACTGACTTTGGATAACTGAGCAAATCTGGTTCAAAATACTTTAGGATCTCCATGTGCAAAAAGCTGGAGTGGGATTTACAAAGCCGTACGCCTCTTCAGAGTTCACTGATGGCCACGGGCAAACCGACAGTTGTGCAGGTGAGAAGAACGCTTTGTTTTCGGATCCTGGTCACCCCGGTTAGCTGAAACCTGCTTCCCAGGCAGGTGCAGGATGAGCGTGCATTGCTCGCCCTAATTGCAGACAAAGGACTGCCCAGCATAGGCTGCGATTCTTCCGTCCGCTCACATTTTGATGAGATTGTGCAGAAAGCTTAACCCGGTACAAGGATTCTTTCTGGCTCATGCAGTCATCAAACCAGTCTTGCTGCTTTCCCCCGCAGAAACAAATCAACTTAAGATCCCACTTGGGAATTCACTGTTTCCTCCCTACAGACCAGGTTCAAGGCAGGAGTCTCATTCGGGCTGAAATGAAGCAGAAATCCCTAGAGAACCATGTCATCCAGTCCCATTTGCTTTTAGCTGATTAAAAAATAGAAACGTACAGCCCACATACCTGGTGTGCTATTTAAAAATGATTCCTTTATTCCTTGGTTAATAAACAATTAATTCATAGCATAAATTATTCCAAATATTCCAAAATAGTTCAGTGAAAGACATTTAACCATTTAGAATTATAAATTAAGTCATTCCCTTCTCCCATTACTCTACACACACACACATTAGTGAGCCCTGCGCTAGTCCTCCAGAGACCGTCCTGACCTACATATTTCCTGGGCCATTTCTTCTGCCTGATGAGATAAGAAGGGACTGAAAGCAGTTTTCCTAGCAGGAGAAGCTGCTGCTTTGAAAAAGTCTTTCTTCAGGGGCGAATCTCATCAACCTAAAGATTTAACTCCTTGGCTCGGAGACCTGCCCACTTCCAGAGGCTGGCGGAGAGGTGCCGGTTTGCTGCCCTCTACAGGCTGCACTCGGGAGCTTCGACTAAAAGAAGAAGGGATGAATCCTTAGGGATCTGAAAAGAAATGCAACACATTGATGCCAAAATAAGGCAAGAGTGGAGTGGGGGAATGATGGGGAACATCAGCTACCATTCAAAGAATTATAGCACTAAAACATTATCGCATGTAGGACACGTAGATATGGCCATTACAGAACAGGATGCAATGAAACACTAGGATTCAATATTTGTAGAAACAGATTTAGCTATGCCAGAATGTTAAACTTTGGTTATCTCCGTGGTGGGATTATGGGTAATTTGTATTATATTCTTTTTATCGGCATCATCTAAACTTCTACAATCAATAGGTGTTATTCTAGTAATAAGAAACTAGTTAAAATGTGTCACAGGGCCCAGCCGGTGTGGCTCAGTGGTTGAATGTCGACCTATGAACCAGGAGGTCATGGTTTGATTCCTGGTTGGGGTACATGCCTGGCTTTCGGGCTTGATCCCCAGGGTGGGGCGTATAGGAGGCAGCAGATCAGTGATTCTCTCTCATCATTGATGTTTCTATCCCTCTCTCCCTCTCCCTCCCTCCCTCCCTCTCTCTGAAATCAATAAAAACTTAAAATAAAGAAGTGCCACGGGGACTTCATGGGTGCTGGTGATGTTCTGTTCCTTGACCTAGAGGCTGCAGGCCTTCACCAAGCGGCCGACTTAGGATACGTGCACTTCTCCGTGTGTCCAGTTCAGTTAGAACAGTTTTTAAAAAATGGTTGTTGAAGTGGAACTCTCACCATTGCTGGTGGCAATGCAAATGGTACAGCCACCTTGGAAGACAGTTTGGCAGTTTCTTACAGAATGAAACATACTTTTTATCATTCGACCCAAGTAGTATATGGGAACTCTTCACTTTCTGCTCAATCCTGTGAACCTAAAACTGCTCTAAAAAATAAAGTCTGTTTTTAGATATACTCACACATGTTACCATATGAACGTTGAAAACAGTAAGTGAAAAAGTCAGACACAAAAGGCTGCATATATATGAAATGTCTAGACCAGCGGTTCTCAACCTGTGGGTTGCGACCCCTTTGGGGTTGAATGACCCTTTCACAGGGGTCGCCTAAGACCATCGGAAAACACATATATAAGTACATATTGTTTCTGTGATTAATCACTATGCTTTAGTTATGTTCAATTTGTAACAATGAAAATACATCCTGCATAGCAGATACTTACATGACGATTCATAACAGTAGCAAAATTAGTTATGAAGTAGCAACGAAAATAATTTTATGGTTGGGGGTCACCACAACATGAGGAACTGTATTAAAGGATCTCGGCATTAGGAAGGTTGAGAACCACTGCTCTAGACTAAGCTGAAACAGAAAGATTCGTTGTTGCCAGGAACTGGGGGGAAGGGGTTGGAGGATGGGGAATGACTGCTAATGGGTACAAGATTTCTTCCTGGGATGATGAAAATATTCTTAAATTAGAGAGTGGTCATTAATGTACAACTTTATGAAGGTAGTAAAAACAACTTAATTGTATACTTTTAAAGGTATGTGAATTATATCTCAATAAAGCTGTTATTTTTAAAAAACAGAAAAGGTTATGGTAGATTTTTGGAACATTTAAATAGCTATGTGCCTACAGTTTGAAAATCATAGTCTTTCAAACAATATAGCTTAATGTACATTAAAAAAGTAAATTCAGCCGGGACCAGTTTGGCTCAGTGGATAGAGCGTCGGCTTGCGGACTGAAGGGTCCCGGGTTCGATTCCGGTCAGGGGCATGTACCTTGGTTGCAGGCACATCCCCAGTGGGGAGTGTGCAGGAGGCAGCTGGTCGATGTTTCTCTCTCATCGATGTTTCTAACTCTCTATCTCTCTCCTTTCCTCTCTGTAAAAACTCAATAAAATATAAAAAAAAAAAAAGTAAATTCAGGCCAAACCAGTTTGGCTCAGTGGATGGAGCGTCGGCCTGCGGACTGAAGGGTCCCAGGTTCGATTCCGGTCAAGGGCATGTACCTGGGTTGCAAGAGCATCCCCAGTGGGGGGCATGCAGGAGACAGCTGATGGATGTTTCTCTCTCATCGATGTTTCTAACCCTCTAACCCTCTCCCTTCCTCTTTGTGAAAAACCAATAAACTATATATTTTTTTTTAAAAAAAAGTAAATTCAGAATGGCCACACATTAAGAAGCCTAGAACTGCCCTAACCAGTTTGTCTCAGTGGGTAGAGCATCAGCCTGTGGACTGAAGGGTCCCAGGTTCGATTCTGGCCAAGGACACACGCCCGGGTTGCGGGCTCCATCCCCAGTACAGGAGGCAGCCCATCAATGATTCTCTCTCATCATTGATGTTTCTATCTTTCTCTCCCTTACTCTCTGAAATTAATAAAAATATATTTTTTAGCCCAAACCGGTGTGGCCCAGTGGGTAGAGCATCAGCCTGTGGACTGAAGGGTCCTGGGTTCGATTCTGGCCAAGGGCACACGCCCGGATTGCGGGCTCGATCCCCAGCAGAAGGCAGCCAGCAATGATGTCTCTCTCTCATTGATGTTTCTACTCTCTATCCTCTCCCTTACTCTCTGAAATTAATAAAAATATTTTTTTTTAAAAGACAAAAAAAAAAAAAAAAGCCTAGAACCTTCTATATTTTGTCAGTGCTCTCAGATGAATGGGAACTGAGAAGGCATTTACCTTTAGCAGCTGGATACACACAAAAGTCCCAGCTCTGGCTCAGGAACATCAGGCCGTGGTCACTGTGGGTCTATTAAAGGCAGCAGCTCCCCACACCGAGAATCCAGCTTCAGGCATGCCAGGTGGTCCGACCGCGTGGGCCCGATGTTCAGTATCGCAATTGGTAACTTCTTCTCCCGGGCAGTGAGGATAAACCTGTAACCGGAGTACACCTGGCGGAGCAGGAGGCGGCACAGGTAAGAGATGCAGGAAGAGATCGCGAGTCGGGAGTCCCGGAGCGGCTCCCAGAGGGGGCAGTGACAGTCAAATACCTGTAAGGACGATCCCACCACCAAGAGAGAGTCGGCTTCTTTGACGCGCCTGTGCACAAAGTCGACCTTGTCGGGGCTCACTGTGTCCCCGAAGAAAACGACATCTGGTTTCAGGGGGCCTCCGCAGCGCGCGCAGGAGGGAACCCGAAAGCTCTGCACCTGCTCCTCCGTGAGAAAGACATCGCCGTCAGGAGCCAGGCCGTGGGCCTCAGCCCTCCAGGTGGGGTTCAGGGCTTCGAAGCGCTCCTGCAGCACCCCACGCGGAGTCTGCTCTCCACAGGCCAGGCACAGGACCCTGAAACCCAAGAGGAGGCTGATGAACGTCTGTCCTGGGGAGGCACATGCTGCCAACGACGGGGCAGCCCCAACTCTTCAGTCCCTCTTTTCCCATCACCCAGTTTTAGGAATATCTTCTCATGACCTCCTTAGCTACCTCCGTTTCTCACCTTCCTTCCGCTGTCGACCTTCAGAACAAGTAATGTACCTCCGTTTCCTTACTAAACCCTCCCTGCTTACTCTTCACCAGCTCATTTTATCCTTAGCACGACTGCAAATTCCCTACCACATAAATGATCTCCTCAGTGCCAAAACCAGTTTTCCCCTCCATTCCCTGTTGTCCTCATCTACTGTAATTATTGCTATCCATCACCATCCTTTCATTTTTTTTAAAAAAAGTGTTTGTTTGTTTTTTAATGTTTTTGTTGAGTTTAGAGAGAGAGAAGCATCGATCGGCTGCCTCTTGCACACCCCCTACTGAGGATCGAGTTTGCAACCCGGGCATGTGCCCTGACCAGGAATTGATCCTGTGACCTCTTGGTTCATGGGTTGACACTCAACCACTGAGCCACACTGGCTGGGCCATCACCACCCTTTCTTTAAAACACTTTCTCCCCTTGATGTCGATGCCATGGTGTCTTCCAGTTCTCTTGGCACCTCTCTTAATCACCAGAACCTGAGCTCTGTGGGGTCTAGAACTTTGAGTCTTGCCCCTTTTGGCAGGACTGCTGCTCATGACCGCTGCTCTATGCCCACTTTCAACCAGCGGTCGCCAACCTTTCGGACCTCACGGACCACCAGTGGCCTAGAACGTGCCCACTAAATAGCTGGTGAAAGAAGGAACAAGAGGTGGTTTACCTGGGTCCTCCTCTGCTCCTCAACCCCCAGCTTGTCTTCTGTCTACGTCCCCCAGCTTGGGCACTCTGTTTCCACTGCCTCAGTGTCTCTATGCAATGGTTTCCTCTGCGTAGGACTCACTCCTGCTCTCGCCCCCAAACTGAAGTCCAACTCCAAGTGTCCTTGGCTGACCTGAGACGTTCACCTCTGTCTTCAACCACCTGCCTCCACCCCCAACTTCCCCATCTCCATCATGTCTCTAGTTACTTGGGCTGAAACCCTGGGAAAAACTTACTCCTTTTACTCGATCTAGTCAACCATCGGATTATGTTGTGGATTTTTTATTTAAAAGACCCCGTCTGCAACGATAAGAAATCTTGGATTTGTTCTAAAATGTTTCTAAGAGTCACGGAGAGAAGGGATAAAGTAGGCATGATAAAAATCTTTGAATCTGGATAATGGTATATGGGAGTTCATTATACTATTCTCTTTACTTTTGTAGATGTTTGACATTTTGGGGGGGACAAAAATCCCCCAAAGATCACTAAGAGTGATCTTGACCTGTGAGGGATGGGAGATGATGGCTAAACACCCCAGGACCCATTCATCATTAGCTCTCTTATTCCCCTGCCATCACCTGAGTCCGGGTCCTTCAGGCTGACCCTGAGCCTCTTCTGTTCCTGTCGGGCCTTCCTCAAATGTTATTTTACCATGTTGCCTCTTGCTCAGAAAGCAGCAATAGCCCCTTTGGTCTCACAACAGTCCGAAACGGCCCTGCATGATTTTCCGATGCACCGTGAGCTGGGTTAGCCTTCCCAGACACCTGATCTCATACCAGTCTCCCCAGAGGCCAGGCTGGTCTCTCCTGGGCTCTGCACCTGCCTTTCACTTAGAAAGCTCTCTCCCCTCCTTTGCCTAATCGAGTCTGAGCCAACCTCAAGCCCCGCCACCCACAAACGCGTCCCCGAGTTCTCCCGTCTTTACTAAGCCTGTGTCTCTGAACTCACAGCTTGTCTATCGAGGACGCCACGATTTACCAGTCCTGTGTGGAGTCGTTGGTCATTACGCGTGTTGTTTTTGGGTCTCCCCCAAGCCGACGACATAGTTCTCACATGTGAAGTAGACCCAGTTTTATACGCTGGTTTTGATCCCTCCACACCAAGTAGCACACAGTACACACCACACGTTGTAGGCACCCAATAAATACTTTATGATTGGCAGGAGGATCTCTGGGGCTAAAGATAAGGCAATGGTCTCCGATGAGCTACCAGCTATTAGCTCCTAGCTACTGCCAGGGCTGCATGTATTCATGCCAGCAACACCTACTGGGTTCTGACCACTACACGCCCGGCTGTAGTGTTCTCTGCGTCTGGGCACCAGAGACACAGCAGTTGGGAGCACAGGCTGTCGTGCTCTGCCCATAGGCCCCGAGGACAGCCACTGCACACGACTTCCTGTGGCCCAGCCAGCCGCCTCTGCAGGAGCAGAGTCAGTGTTAGGGAGTGGATCCCCCCAGCGTGACCTTTGACCAAGGAGGGATGGGAGATGCTGGCTGAACACCCCAGCTGCCCTGACTTCCCGTGAGAACTCTGAAGCATGCTCTCCAGACAGTCAGAGGGCCCAGCAGCCCAGAGCAGTAACCCATTCATTAACGTACCCTTTTGGCTTTCCTCCCTCCCCCATTTCACTTCCCCACTCCCTCAATGAGTTTGGCGAGATCAACTCCAAACTGAACCACTAGCTCCCAAACCCTTTTCTCAAATCGATCGAAGGCAACAGTGATCACGTCAGCCTAGGTCCCTGCCCTTACACATTCCTGCATTCAAGCCTTTCCGACGTTTCCGCACCTGTGCATGCATCCGTGCAGCTCGGTGAGGCGCTGACTCCCCGCCTTGGTGTGCAAGGCGTCCACATTCTGGGTCACCAGCCAGTACAGCTTTCCGAGTCTCTCCCAGCTGCTCAGAGCCCAGTGGGCAGGGTTAGGCTGATGAGAGGAGAACCGAGGCCAGCCCACAAAGTTCCTCGCCCAGTACCGCTGGCGGACTGGAGCCCTCTGCACAAAATCCCGATGCTGGATGGGCCTCCGGTCGGTGCGGGCATAGAGTCCCACCTTTTCAGACCTGTAGTCCGGGATCCCTGACTCAGTGGAGACCCCGGCCCCCGTCATCACTAGGAGTCTCTTGGAAAGAGAGACGAAGCGCTGTAGCTCTTTGACCTTCTCAGGGTCCACAGGAGGACTCGGTGGCACAAATAGTCCAATGGATCCATGTGCGCACTGCTGGCTGAGGTTCAGTCTCCAGCAGCCTTTCGCTGCCCTCAAAGTCAACCCAACATTCATCTTCATTCTAGAGAGAGAGACCTCATGTGAAAAACCAACTGACTGATTGATTGGTTTAGGTATAGTTGAGATTATATATATATATATATATATATATATATATATATATATATATATATATATGACATGTTAGCTTCAGGTGTACAACAATTACTCAGTAATTGGATATATTGTGAAATGATCACCACATGAAGTTTAGTTACATCTGTCACCACACAGAGGTATAAAAATTTTATTCTTGTGGTGAGGAATTTTAAGATCTACTCTCTCAGCAACTTTCAAATATGCACTACAATATTGTTAACTACTGTCACCATGCAGTACATTATTTCCCCATGGCTTATTTATTGCAAAACTGGAGTTTTATACCTTTGACCACCTTTACCCATTTCTCCTCCCACCTCCACCCCAGCCTTTGGCAGCCACCAATCTGTTCTCTGTATCTGTGAACTTCAGGATAGACAAATCAGTTTCTCCCAACAAATAAATTGCAAGAGACAGAGATATAGACATAGGTATACGAAGGGGATTATATAGATTAAAGTATGTGGGCCTTATTTGAGTCCTGATCCAAACAAACTTTTAAAACATGACATTTATAAAATAACTGGAAAATTAAACAGTAACTGGATGTTTGATATTAAGAAAATACTATTAATTATTTAACATATGACAGAGAGTATTTTAAAAAGTCCTCATCCTACTGAGTTATATATCGAAATATTTGGATAAAGTTATATATCAAGGAGGATTTGCTTCAAAATAATATGGGGAAGGTTGTGGAGCAGATAGGAGTATAGAAATGAAACAAGATTAACCAAGAGTTGTTAATTATTAAAGCTGGGTGATGGGCCCATGGATGGGGGGGTCATTATATTATTCTATCCCCACAATAAACATTTTTAAAGTCATTCCTCAGAGGAATGTCTGCTTGCAGATGTCCTAGTATGCTCAGGGCAGTGGTCGTGCAGAAATGCCAAAAGCCGTGAGATGAAGGAAAATGATTATATCTTTTGAATATTTTAAAAGCTTAAGAGATATGATCAGAAAAGTTAGACGAAGAAAAAAAGAATGGAGAAGTGTGAAGAGAAGCTAAAATGTGGAATGCTTGACCTTAAAGGAAGATATTTTAAGACCTCTCCAACTTATATCTGGAAACTGCCAACCCAAAGGATTTTTAATTTTTTTTAATTGATTTTAGAGAGAAACATTGATTTGTTGTTACACTTATTTATGCATTCATTGGTTGGTGCTTGTATTCATCAACCTTGGGATCGAACCCACAACCTTGGTGTATCAGGATGATGCTCTAGCAACTGAGTTATCCGGCCAGGGCCCAAAAGGTTTAATTATCAGCAAACTTTTGCACATGCAAATATTTTAAGAGATGGGTGATGAGAGCCAAGAGCATGACACTGAGAAATGGCTGGAGGATAGGAATGTGTTGGCACTGCGTACAATACTGTCTTCTGGAAGATAATATCTAGATATTAGGACAATGTATTGGAGAGGACCACAGGTTATTACATGTCTAAGAAAGCTGTCCTCACAGACCATAGTATTTTCTGTGGCAGATTTCATGCTTATCAGAACAGCCTATTGATAATGAACTAATTAATGACTTCAGTACCTGCAAGGATGGCCCCAAATAAACAATAATATTTCACTAGAAAGATTTTTCACTAGAAAGGTACGGCCCCCTTCCCTCCACACACCCCTAAAGTGTATTTGTAATCTTACTTTGAAACCCAAATCAATCATTTGTAAAATTTGGGAGCGTGTGAGCTAGCTCAGGATCTGATGACTCAGGAGGAATTGAACACTGGGGCTCCAGGCTTATAGAGAAAACTGACCCTGCTAGGGCTGTGCTGACCCTGCTAGGGCTGGCTTTTCCCCCTTCCCCCTCAACAAAAGATACAATAATCCCGTCCTGGCCCATTTCATGCTACCGATGGTTTAATTACTGGCTAGCAAACTCTTCAATATTTAACACCTGGAACCTCACAAGTGCAAATTGATTCCAGCACACCCTCCTGGGTCCCCTGAAGTCCAACCCGAAGCAACAAGCCTACCTTTTTATTATGTTTTTAATCATCTGTTTTGGTCAAGAAGTTCTAATACCTTCCACAAAATAAAGTCTTGTCTCCACGCTGGACTATTTCATCACAGCCCAAGCCGATCTTATCTTCCTGGCCTCTTAAGAACCTATAACCAGAGCTCTACTCTGCTGTAGCCATCAGATGAATATTAACTTAAAAAAGCGTTCTGTATTTAAGGGAACTGTATATTTTGGCGTTTTTTTTTGTTGTTGTTGTTGTTGTTTTTAAAGAGGAGGCTGTAAAAACATAGCCTATTTAAAAAAGGAGGGAGGATAAAGTAAAAATTGGGAAAGCATATAATCTAAGGCCCTATTGTGAATCTCCCAGTAACACCAGCTGGTCAGACATGAATTCCTTATAAACTTCAAGAAGTTAATGACTTACCTCAATATCCTTTAAATCCCTTAATACCTCATTGTTATTCCATCTATGACTGCATCTAAAGATGTCTCCAGCAGAGGAATATATTTATATTTTAGTTAATACCATCCCTTGGGGAACTTTGTGTTCCATAACCCCACATCCCATCTTCTAAATTAGAATTACCTTATTTCTTTATTATTATTAGGTTTTAATCCTCACCTGAGGATGTTTTTTTCCCCATCAATTTTTAGAGCAAGAGAGAGGGAGAGAGAGAAACATCGATGTGAGAGAGAACAATGATTGGCGGCCTCCATTCAGCCCTGACCGGGGATCAACCCCGCAACTGAGGTGTGTGCCCTGACTGAGAACTGAACCTGCAACCGGAACTATCTCATTTCTTCATATGCTAAGGAAGCACATTTGAGTTCTAGTATGCCAGGTGTTAATAAAGTTGTTTGCTCAGACTTTTTATTTTATTAATATAATTAAGCACACGCACGCCTCTTGTGTTTCGTTTCCCCCATATTATTTTAGTTTACTCTCAGTTGCCAACAGCTACTTGCATACAGCAGGGAGTCGTGAAACCTGGCCAGTCATCATACCCGCGTGTCCGCTTTCCAGCTGTAAAAACAAGGCGCTGGCATTGTTTGATGGAGGACAGACATCCCCTACTGACGTGCGCCCCGTATGTACACATTCCTTTAATTCGGATTTCCAGATCCGGATTCAGGACCCCGATTTCTCCTTGACACTCCACAGCAGCGTGTGAACAGCTCAACAAATGCAGGGTCCTAATTCCTGAGACCCGGGGCTCGGGAAGCCCCGCTGCAAACACGCCCCATTAGAACGGCTGCGCTGTCCCAGGTCCCACCGAAGCGCAAAGAGGAGGAATGTAATCCCTTATAAGAAACCCGCAACCTCTAGCAACCTCGCAGCCCGCAAGGAGCTCACTTACCTTTCACAGCCCAAGGGACACTTCAAGTCCGACAGCGGGACTGCCTGGCCACATCTGCATTCTGGGTAATGTAGTTTCCGAAGCTTAAATAACGCAAACACTACAAGTCCCACAATCCTCTGGGTTTCACAGTTGAGATAACCAGGTTGTCCAGGTGCGCCCCCTGGGGGCTCTTCGTGGTCAGAAGTTTTGAACCTTCCTCGTGGAGGTGCTGCTCTCACCTAAGCAATCCCATACATTGTCCTCCCCGAGAAGTATTTGCAGCGTCACACCAAGGTCTTTAAAGTGCAAAATCACGGAATCGCCGCACACTTTTTTTATTCATAGACGCGTGTCCCCCTCCAGCCCCGACCTGGGGTCAGTAACTTATTTGTCCGGCTTCGCGGAGGCTCCTCTGGGTTTGTCCTCAGGTGGTCTGTGGGTGTCTTTCAGAAAATGGTTATTTTATATGATTTGTCATGGAATTTGTTCTAATAAATCATTCTATCACGTGGCAAAAAAATATAATAATAAAGTGCAAAACCATACATCCAAACAGCCCTTAGGAATTCATTCTCTGTTTTTGTTTATCCTCACCCAAGGATATTTTTTCCATTGATCTTTATTTTTTTTATTTTGAAATATATTTTTATTGATTTCAGAGAGGAAGGGAGAGGGAGAATCATTAATAGGCTGCCTCCTGCACGCCCTCCACTGGGGATTGAGCCCACAACCCCAGCATGTGCCTTTGACTGGAATCAAACCCGGGACCCTTCAGTCTGTAGGCTGACACTGAGCCAAGCCAGCTAGGGCTCCATTGATATGAAGAGAGAATGGAAGGGAGGGGGAGAGACAGAGAGAAAGAAATATTGATGTGAGAGACACATCAATTAGTTGCTTCCAGATTGAACCTGCAAACAAGTGCCCTTCACCAGAATTGAACCCGAGATCCTTCAGTCTGAGGGCCGAGGCTCTAACCCAGCCATGGGCAAACTACCACCCGAGGGCCGGATTCGGCCCCTTTGAAATAAATAAAACTAAAAAAAAAAAAGACCGTACCCTTTTATGTAATGATGTTTACTTTGAATTTATATTAGTTCACACAAATACTCCATCCATGCTTTTGTTCCGGCCCTCCGGTCCAGTTTAAGAACCCATTGTGGCCCTCCAGTCAAAAAGTTTGTGCACCCCTGCTAACCAGTGAACCAAACCAGCTAGGGCTGATTCTCCCTTAAGATAGAAACCTTAATAATAGTTCTAGATTTGGACCACCCTCAACCTCAGTGTTTATGATCCTTTCCACTCACTGTGACAGGGTCAAGTTCCTACCTTGCTGTGGGTTGTCAAGCACATTCACAAGTACCTGAAAATGTGATGTTTTTACATATTCATGAACAACTAAAGCCAACTCTAATATACAGGGACTCATGTGTCTACCCACTTGGCGTCTCCAATTTTATTTTCCAGCTTGTGTGTTATTAAGTTAACCAACACAAAGCCTGGTTTTCACTCCCAGGGCTGATTGAATTGGTCTGGGGAAACGCCTGGGGCATAAGTCGGCTTTCAAACTTCCCAGTTGTTTCAAATGTGTGGCCCAGGAGAACCTCTGCTCTATAGCATCACCAAATAAGACGGCAATCAATTTATAAGCGTTTTAGGACATAATTTCAGGGCAGTTAGCAGGGACCTTGAAGACCACCTGTGGAACCACTTCCCCCAGTTTAAGATAAGCTGAAGCCCCGAGGAAGGCTATGGGAGATGGAGTCTGACTCCTGGTCTCTCACTGAATGTGCGGAGGTAAATACTGGAAAAGTTACGAGGGCGGTCGTTTGGGAGCAGTGCGTCCGGCAACTGCTCAGCTAGGTCACTGGGCTGGAGAGCCACCTGACATGGACAGCCTTTGTGCCTGCCTTAACCTGCCAATGCTGGCTGACAGAAAGGACCAAAATGCAGACTGGAAACTTTTACCAAGTCAAAACAGTTGTCATCCAGAACATTTTCTGCACACGTGGGTGTTTGATCAAAACCATGGAAATGCCCGAAAAGTGACATTCCTCCCACCCCAGCCACATTTTATGATGAAATATTTCAAACCCATGTTACTTTTTCAATTCTCCAAGCGGGATGAGCATTTTTGATGGAGACTGGATAGGAATATACAACTATTGTGCTTTCAGACCCCAAAGAATCTAATGTTCTGGAGAGAAGTTAACTGAATTTTCCATTTTCTCCTAGCGCTGGAAAGTTATCTGTGGCGGATGAAGTCATCCAAGACAGCTGGTGAAACACAATTTCCCTTGATAGCTACTGACAGGATGTAACGAGCCACCCAATCACGACATTCTCAAGGGCTAAGTCCTTTTTTTCTCTTTCTTTTTAAAGATTAATTAATTTTATTTTTTATTATTTGTTTTAGAGAGAGGAAGGGAGGGCAGAGAGAGAGAGAGAGAGAGAAACAGACCAGCTGCCTCCTGCATGCACCTGATGAACCCGCAACCTGGGCATGTGCCCCAATCAGGAATCAAATCGGCGACCTTTCAATGCAGGAGACAACGCTCAACCTACTGAGCCACACCTGCCAGGGCTCCTTTTATTTCTCACAACTCCACCACACCAGAAATGAATGACTAAGTCAGTGACTGTATCAAAGCAAATTAATCTAAATTAATCAGATTGTTAGTGTTGTTTTATCTGCTGGTTTTTCTTATCCGGGCATTCATATCTGGGTGAAAAAAAATTAACTATACATCAGCATCATACAAGCCTTTTTTAAAAATACATTTTTATTTATTTTAGAGAGGAAGGGAGAGGGAGAGAGAGATAGAAACATCAATGATGAGAGAGAATCATTGATTGGCTGCGTCTCGCACGCCCCCCACTGGGGATTGAGCCCGCAACCCAGGCATGTGCCCTTGATCGGAACTGAACCTGGGACCCTTCAGTCTGCAGGCTGACGCTCTATCCACTGAGCCAAACCAGCCAGGGCACATATAGGCTTTTAAAGATGTCCATTTTTGCATCCAGATGCCAACTACATGAATGAATATTCACTGAACAGCATTTTAAATGTTTCGTGTTTGAAATTTTTTAATAATAAAATGTTGAGGAGAAGGTTTCTTTCTCAGAGACTACTATTTGCATCTTAACGAGTAGCAAAAGCCATAAGTATTCTGGAGGCTATAGCTCAGGGAGGAAACAAATCCAGATAGCAGTTTCTAGCAGCTTTCCACTTGCAGAGGGAACACAGGCAATGAGTGAGCGTCACTTCAAACTTCGTGAGCTGTGAACATTGCTGTGGAAATAGCTTCTTCCTTTCAGCCTCTTTCTTCTAAATTAAGATGTCCACAGAAAACTCCTTTGTGTTAAACATTTAAGTAGTACATGATCCAGAAATTCCACTTCTAGGTATATACACACAAAAATTGAATACAAGGACTCACACTGACACCTCTATGCCCGTGTTCCTCGGAGCGCTATTTACAAGAGCCAAAAGGTAGACGCTCAGTTGGTTTAGCGTCCTCCCACGCACTGAAAGGTCTCTGGAGGGATTCCGGGTCAGGACACATGCCTGGGTTGTGGGCTCCATCTCCAGTGGGGGGCATGTGGGAGGCAGCCCGTCGACTTCTTACATATCAAGTTTTCATTCTCTCTCTCTCCCCCTCCCTTCCTCTCTCTCTCTAAAATCAACAGAAACAATTTTTAAATTTTTTAAGTCTTTATTGTTGAAAGTATTACCTAAGTCCCCCATTTCCCTCCCATTGACTGGTTCTAGCCCACCCCTAGCCCCCACCCCAGGCCTTCACCACCCTGTCTGTGTCCAGGGGGTGTGCATATATGCATACAAGTTCTTTGGTTGATCTCTTCCCACCCACCTACCACCCCCGCCTTCCCTGAAATAAAAACGTATTTTTTAAAAAGGTAAAAGCAGCCCTAGCTGGCTTGGCTCAATGTATAAAGCATCGGCCTGCAGACTGAAGGGTCCCAGGTTTGATTCTAGTCAACAGCACATGCCCCGATTTCGGACTTAATCCCCAGTAGGGGGCGTGCAGAAGGCAGCAGATCAATCAATGATTCTCTCTCATTGATATTTCTATCTCTCTCTCCATTCCTCTCTGAAATAAAATTATATATATATATAATATATATATTATATATAAAATATTTAAAATATATTTCTTTAAATATATATTTTATTTTTTAAAAAATATATTTTATTGATTTTTTACAGAGAGGAAGGGAGAGAGATAGAGAGTTAGAAACATCGATGAGAGAGAAACATCGATCACCTGCCTCCTGCACATCTCCCACTGGGGATATGCCCGCAACCCAGGTACATGCCCTTGACCGGAATCGAACCTGGGACCCTTCAGTCCGCAGGCCGACGCTCTATCCACTGAGCCAAACCGGTTTCGGCTAAATATATATTTTAAAAGGATTACATTTTTAAAAAGATAGAAGCAAAAAAAAAAAAAAAAATGATAGAAGCAATGCATGCCCATTGTAGAATGAATAGGTAACAAAATTCCATACAACAGAGTATCAGTCATAAAATGAAACTGAAATATACTACAGCATGGATGGACATTAAAAACGTTATGAGCCGTAACCGGTTTGGCTCAGTGGATAGAGCGTCGGCCTGCGGACTGAAAGGTCCCAGGTTCGATTCCGGTCAAGGGCATGTACCTTGGTTGCAGGCATAGCCCCACTGGGCGGTGTGCAGGAGGCAGCTGATTGGTGTTTCTCTCTCATCGATGTTTCTAACTCTCTATCTCTCTCCCTTCCTCTCTGTAAAAAAATCAATAAAATATATATTTTTAAAAATTATGAAACAAGCCAGACACAAAAGGTCAAATATTGGATGATTCTGCTAATGTGAGGTACTTAGAATAATCAAATTCATCGAGACAGAAAGTAGAATAGAGGTTGCCGGGGGTGGGGGGAGGAACCATGGAAAGTTGGTGTTTAATGGGTACAGAGTTTCAGTTTGGGACGATGGAAAAGTTCTGGAAATGCACAGCAGTGATGGTTGCAAGCCATGTAAAATGTACGTGATGCTACTGAACTGTA